CCTTGAGGCAACTGTTGTTGTGATTTGGCGCTGTAATAAATAAAATTGAATTGAACTGAATATGTTTTGCATCCTGGACAATGAAGCTGACAGAGGAAGTGATGGGAAAAATATTTTTAAATCTTAAATCTTGTGTTTAAATCTTTACACCCAATGTTTTCCTGGATAAATCATGTTAGAGCCACTGTAATATTACTTGCAAGTATTCGTTCCTTTTTGTTCCTTGTTATTGTTTCATTATTTTCTGAAACATTACTTTCTTTATAACAGACTAGTTTAGAATCTCATCCCTCCACCTCTTGCCACTACCATAAATTCGTTCTCTTTTCATATAAGCATTGAAACTAATAAACATAATTGTGTTAGTTTTGGCAAAGTCATGCGTATGAGAACTCACAAATGAACTGTCATGTCTAGTCTGATACAAACATACTCGTCTGATTTATTCACTGTGTAAACACTGCATGCAAAGTGCACCAGACTAAAAGTAAAAACGGCTGTTCTCAGTCCAGCCAGCAGACAAGTGTTTACCAGCTTAGAGACAGAATAAATTTGCACCTGTTATGAGCGATAAGCACAGCAAAAAATACATGAAGCAATTCAATATGCAAAGTTTGTGGCATTTATGGCAAATATTGCATTATTGCTTCTGTTAGGAGCAATATTGCATTATTGCTCCTGTTAGGAACGACGCATGCCTCACTTCATGCAATACTGGACAGCGTGGCTTCTCTCGAAAAGAAAGGGACAAATTAGACAAGTTTGCCTTCTCAATCAGCCTGGATAAATAATTGTTGCTGTATGAAAAAACACCTTCACAAATCGCAGACTTCTTACTGTTTCTCACTGATAAAAGAAAGAGGAACAACACGAGGTTCCTTTTCTGCAGTAAACCTATTCGCCTTGGAGCTCTTTTACCCAAGAATTCCATCAAACTTTATGTTTTGTTTTTTTTTCACAATAACAACATTGTAAGCATTCAAGGAAAAATATTTACGACCTTCAGACAAGTACCTCATTAATTATAGCTACCTTATTGTTTACTGATGTTTATCTAGACAGTTGCCTTCCCATCAGCCTCTGCAAACTCTCTCCAATAACTACTTCATCCAGAGCAGCAACATGCTGCCCCTAGGCACCACGTGCCAAGCCTTATCTAATGTCTCATCTAATCATTGAGCTTTTCCAACCTTTCTCTTATTGAAAACTTCTTCAAAGAGTAGCTGTGAAACAACTAACTAAGCTAAATTTGCAAAGGACTTATCTACTTGAGGAAATTTCAGTCTGGATTCAGAGCACAGAAACAGCAGTAGTGAACGTTACTAATGACCTTCTCATGGCCTCTGACCATGGGCTCATCTTTGTGCTTGTCCTGGGAGACTTCAGTGCATCATTTGATACAGTTTGTTACCTTAACCTCCTAAGACCTGAACTCTTTCATGGCGTGCATTTTTTACTTCGCTTTGCTACTTGAGCTGATGAATGTAAAATCAAAGAATTATCTTTTTACCTGATTTTTCTCTATAAGGGTCTGATATCCACATATGAGAACATTCGTTTTAAATTTCGATAGACCAGTGGCAGTGTAATGTTCTCGTAAGAGATATTAGGCCCTTATAGAGCAAAATTAAGTATTGTGGTCTAGACCAGCGGTCCCCAATCCCAGGGAGTCGTTTGGTACTGCGAGAGTTGAGGCTCGGGTGTGAAATTTATGGTTTTCAGGGTTTTTATCAGTTTTTATCGTTATTTTTTATCGTTAACTCGGTTTCCCTGGATCTTTTCCTGTGTGCTATGAATAAATTTTCTTTTTTTGTACTGTTACTGGTTTTATTTTGTTGTATTTATCCACAACACCTTAAAGCCGGTCCGTGAAAATATTGTCAGACATAAATCGGTCCGTGGGGACTGCTGGTCTAGACAACCCAGAATGTGATGTCCACATATGTGGACACCAGGTCCTAGGAGGTTAAATAAAATTGGCATTTTCCTTTATTATCTTTAATATTTCCAATAATAGGATTGGTATTAAAGGAAATGTGCAGCAGTGGTTTCAATCACATCTGATAAACTCAGATTTTTGGATGTAAATGGCTTTTCTTCACATGCAAAAGTTAATCGTGGACTTCAGGGTTCTTTGCTGGGACCAACGCTATTTACGTTATACGTGTTTCCCCTGGCAGTATTATTAGAAAACACAGTATATAATTTTACTGCTTTGCAAATGATACCAAGCTTTATTTATCTGTGAAGCCAGGGGGCACAAATCATCTAGTTAAACTAGGCATGTCTTACTCTGGATGGCAGTACCTTGGTCTCCAGTAACACTGTGGGGAACCCAAGAGTTGTTTTTAAACAGCATATGCCCTTCAATCCACACATTAACAAATATCTAGGACAGCCTTTCATTCATCTGCCCAATATCGCAGAAACATCCCGTCTTAGTCTGTGCATTCATTACTTCTAGGCTGGGCTACTATAATTCATTATTATCAGGCTGTGCAGTTAATCCAAAAAGCTGCAGTGACAGTACTGCAACAGAGCAGAAAGATAGAGTATTTTTCTCCTGTACTGGCTTCTCTTCATTACCTCTTAATCACAGAGTTTAATTTAAAAGCTTTCTCCTCATACAAAAACGTCCTAACAGCCTTCAGCCATTAGACCGTTTGTGTCCATTTGGGCCAGTTAGACACCCTCTCTACTTTTAAGATTAGTCTTTGTGTCGGATGTGGTGACCCTGAACCGTCCCTTAGTTACGCCGCTATAGGCTCAGACTCCCGGACTTTGTGTGATCCGCTGGTTTCTTCTCCAGTCACCTCTTTTTTCTCCCCACTGCTACACGTCCAGTCTTTCCCATCGCCCCCAACCCATAGCTGGTTCTGCCAGAAGTTTCTTCCTCTTACAAGAGTTTTCCCCTCCCACTGCTGCATAGAGTTCATTCATAGGGAATCATCTGATTGTTGGGGTTTTCGTGCGGTTGTTAGCTTGCAGAACAAAGTGACTTTGGGTGGCTGCTGTTGTAACTAGGTGCTGTATAAACAAACTTGAACTGAATACAACTAATGTCAAAGTGAGTCAAGTCATGAGTCATTCTTAGCTGGCAGGAGTTGTAGTAGTGATCACATCCTTGTTGTGTGCATGTCTCTACCTGCCCTACAGCAATACATGAGATGTTGACAGCACATGCTGGCTGTTTAGTCAACTCTTCAATCATACATCTAAAAAGAAAAAAGACAAAATTATATGAAGTTGTATTAGTTACTGGTTTGATATTAGTCTGTATAAAAGGCTCTTTGAGGAAACTCCTTTTTGTCTCTGTGCCACATTGAAAAACATACAGGTTAGGCTGATGTCCGCTGTTAAAAGATAACTCTTGGGCACAGATCCTTTGCCCTTGTGAGTCAGATCCAGCTTTGCTCACAGACATGACACCACAGAGTGAGAATGAGCCAACTGAGCTGAAGCAACCGGCACTAATAAGGAGAAGAGAGCTGGGGCTCCTCACACTCACTGTTTTCCATTTGCCCACGCCGGCAGCCGGGCTGGGATGAGGGGCTAAAATGTGATTTTTTTAAAAGAAGAGATCAACGCACAAGAGGTGAAACAGGGCAATGACCTTCAGTCGCGACTTCCTGTCTATACACAGGTGAGTTCCTTAGATATTAGAAGCGATAGACGAAGGTTAACAAAGCTGAGGAAATGATCTAAATCAGGGGTAGGCAACTCCAGGACTCGAGTGCTGGTTTCCTGCAGGTTTTAGATCTCACCCTGGGCCAACACACCTGAATCAAATGATTAGTTTGTTCCCAGGCCTCTGGAGAACTTCAAGACATGTTGGGGAGGTAATTTAGCCATTTGAATCAGCTGTGATGGATCAAGGACACATCTAAAACCTGCAGGACACCGGCACTCGAGGCCTGGAGTTGCCCACCCCTGATCTAAATGAAGCTAACTTTTATAATTAATAAGAGCAGTTTCAAACGTATTGTTTTCCAGATAGCTTTAGTTAAGGTTTGAATACATACATACTGTGAATCATGAGAGTTTTTATACACATAAACTGGTATATAGCTATTTTGCTTAGGAAATTTTAAAAGTTTGCACGTTATATTTATTTTCCAATTAAAAGCATAACTTACTGCTGTATTTTTCAGTGTAACTTGACTTATAGGCTAAATGAAGTTAACATGAGTCATCTTAAGACTCCTGTAAAGCTGAGAAATTTATCAGTGGTTTGTTTGCTTGCCTGGGCTTCTGCCTTCATGAGTAGTACTGCCTACTCATAAAAATAGAGAACAGCATTAAGAAATCTATGTAGACGAGATAAGTCAGCAGTGAGTCTGTGGTGAGGCAGCGACAATTTAGAGAATTATTTAGTGTCTAAACTGTTTTATGTCATTCTGAGCTAACCGCCCCGTGCTGCACTCTCTGCAGGTCGCATCAACTTTTAAAGTCGATCTGGGAGATAAGCTGCCTCTGCCTTCCTGGTTCAGTCACAAAAGGGGTGCACCCGGCCTCCAAAGGATGGCTACGCAGGTTTTTGCTGCTGAAGCTGGTGACGGTGCTGCTGTTCCCCCATGGGGTGGGCCTCCCCCTGCTCCTAGGCTGTGTATTCAGCCTGCGTGCTCTGTTGCTCCTGCGCTCCCCTCACATCTCCACCAAGCCCTCCACTGTCCTCCTGAGCCAACTGGCTCACTCAGATAGCCTGGTGCTGCTGCACTGGGCGATTCAGCTGGGAGCGACCCTGGGCAAGTGGATGGAGGAGGCGGGCTGGAAGGCGGAGGTGAGTTTTATGAAGGACGGGAAATTGGTTTGGTGGAGAGAGGCTGCAAAAGTGCTCTGTCATCAGCTGCTTGATGCACATCAGCTGGCCTCTCTGCTGCTGTTGGGTCTGCTGGGACTCGAGGCCACGCTGGTGTCACGCTGGCCTCAGCAGACTCGGAGATTCAGGACTTCTCGCTGGGCGCAGCTCAGCTGCCGTCTGGCCTGGATGCTTGTGCTGCTGGAACTCACGTCTTTGCTACACTGCAAAACATTGCAGGACCCCTCAGCATTTCAGGATGCTCAGATTTCCCCTCGTGGCATCGTGCTTCCCCCCTCCCTGCCTACCTTCTCATGTTATCTGAGGAAGATGTTATGGCTGGTGAATTCATGGCTGCATTACACCATCTTCTATGGTCAACCACAGAGGAAAAAGAGTTCTTATCATTAGACCTTTGTAAGAGGAGGAGAAATGGTTGTATTTATACAAAAAGAAAATCTTATTTATAAAAACTTATTTTACAAGCCAGACTATGTAAGCTTTTCTGCGAATAATCTGTCATACAGACTATTTGATTTTAATTTATAAAACCAATAAAAAAAATATACTAATGTAAAAATGAATGCTTTAAAATGTTAATAAACATGAATTTGACTACAGAAAGCAAAGTAGAAGTTACACTAGGCCTTCTCTTCAGCTGGAACAGGAAATAAGTAAGTATGAAAGTGTTTCATACTTACAGTAGTCATAAATAGACAACTAATCAGTGACTAACCCATCATCTGAATTCCCATTTGCATAGCCACTTATCCAGTTCAGGAGCTTCAGAGTAAAATGAAAGTGATTTTTCAGAAACAGATCATCATTGAGGAAAATTAGCTTTATGAATGATCTGAGGAATTTGCTTTAAAAATTAATAACATTTTAATTTCTATAAATGACCTTTGATTTGATCTTTAATTTGAGTCCACCTCTCGCCCTATGACAGCTGAGGTAGGCTCCAGCTTATCCCAGCAACTCTGATAAGGATACAAGGAAAACAGAATGGATGGACTTTTAATTTGTATCATATTTGCTTTATCTGGCATTTGGGGGGGAAAGCTGCATTGTGGAGTTTATTCAGGTTTTTCAGTATCATTGTATCATCATTTCATATCTTTGTATCATATATGGTACACTAGGCATCGAGGGGTTAATCTTTGGAATTTTTGTGTTTTATCTGTTACAGGCGGAGCCATGCACTAAAACATTCCCTGCTTTATCTGCATCTGTTTGAGTCTTAATGGGACTATAATTGACAAAATTAATGTAATGTTATATTCAGTAAGAGTTAAAACATGTGACTATAACCATTAACTCATTAGGAAGCTCTTTACTGAGGTCACATATCAAATATGAATTAGTGTAATTTTCTCATAAACTTCTAAACAATTCTTCTTTTCTTTGTATTCAAAGTCGTCACACCCTGCTCGGCACGACGATTCAAAAAGAGTTCACATTTAAGCCGTTTCACTTTTCAGTAACCACATTTAATGCCCATCTTTTATGTACAGTGTTTTATGAACTGAGCAGAGGAACGTCTGACTGTCAGACATAAAAAGACTGTTTAATTCTTTTAAATGCAACTTTTCATGTGTAAACACAAACTAAAAGCAAGTTTAGTTTTTTTTAACATTACTTGGAGTAACACCTGAAATTTGCTTGGAGTTTAAAATGATGTATTGACATATATTACTAAAAAAACAAATACTTTTGGTACAACAAAATGTGTTGCAACAGGACAAAACATCCTTTAAATGGGAATCTGAACACACACGGCTTTCACACTTGATTTTTGAGAGGCTTATATGACATGATCAGCTTTACGTGCAAATGCGCGCTCACTTGTTGTCTCTCCCTTATTTAAACTGGCAGCCAGCCCAGGAAATGGTGTTAATACCAGAGTGCAACACAATAAAAGGTTTGCCGCGGTAAAACCGCACACTAGAGCTCATAACAGTCTTTTCTAAAAGGTTTCCAGTTCACTGCAGCTTTTCATCATTTCTTTTGTGCAGCAAAACGGAAAACAACAACAACAAGAACAACAAACTGGGATGGGTCACAAGGAAGCTCTAATGAATGGAAATGGCCTCAGTGTAATTTCCGTAATGTCTTCTATTGATTTAATTTGTTACTATGTGGATAGTACAAATCTGCACACGCTGATTGGAAAATAATTTTCCTAAACAATTTGATGGATGGTTAGTGAAATGTGGGTAACTTTGGGCAGGACCAAAGCCACAAACACTCAGCTTGGCAGGCAGGGCTGTATCAAGACATGATCTAACCAACCACCACAGTCATACCTGAACTCCTCACATTTGTCACAAAGCACATGAAAGATTCAAGACAACGACAGGTGCTTACATCTGGATAGAATCTGCGACATAACCACGTCACACACAGCAGTCAGTGCCGAGAAATATGTGCTCTGTCGCTGCCATATATGATGAAATTAAGGAAGTTCCAACCACAGAGAGGGGTGAACACATTACATGGTTCAAAGTTAATGTGAGCAGCAGCTTCCACGTACTTGTGACTGAATCCAGAGTTTGTTCTTGCAGTGTGCGGTGTGTCCAGCAGAAGGAAGCACAGAGCTGCTTGCTCTGCTTCTTTACATAATCCACTCCAAGGAGCTCCTGACACAGTGTAAAAGACTGAAGAGGATCGAGGAACTCTGCTTCTATGCTAACCTATTTACTACTGTGTTTGTGTGTATCAGTGTGTAGCTGCAAACTCAAGTGTTCCTGGAAGAAATCAATTAAAGCTGAAAAGCGAGGAACAGCTTAAGAAAGAGGGGCCTCGGTGGCCGCTTCCTTCCCATGATGTTTGGCAGTGGTCGCCCTACGCAGACTACTTTGGCATTGCAGCTGTCACTCACAGGGGAACAATGTGGGAGGTTACACTTTTAAAAATAACAACATGTCCTGTTTGTTCTCTCGAACGAGTCAAGGTTCATCTGCACTACAGGCTGTAAAGGAGAGACCGTGGTAACTGGGTCATTTCATCTCAAATCAACATGGGCTTTGTGCTCGACCGGTTTGCATCAAAGGTTTACGGACCGAAGTTTGTATGTCTGTAATGAGCCCTCTGACATTTAGACTTCATCTTCTCTCAGCTTTGATCTTTGATGTGTTGTCTTTCAATTTTAAATATAAGGCTGAAATTGAAATTTTTCATACCTTGGGTATTTTCCTTCTCCTGTTCCTGTTTTCTCCCACTGCCTTTATCTGTAATAATAATGCGTCTGCTGTTTTGCCTCCGTGCTTGTGGCCTGGGTTTCACTTCTTCTCTGATCCTGCTAACCATGATTCTCAGGAAGGCTGCCATGCTCCTCGAGTTTATCTACTCTTTTTTTATGCTTAAAACTCTATCATGTGAAAGTCACCAACAACCTGCCTGTCGGCCACTTTAAAACTCTTTCTGTGTTTGACTTTTACTAATTAGCAAATGGACCAAACATGTATCCACTCATTGCCAACAGTCCTGATAGGACCTGATTTATTTGTCCTAACATTTCTTGAAGATGAGGTTGTGATACGTTCATCAAAAACATGTCATTTGTTACCAATGAAACAGTCAGTAACATATAACAGTACAGAATGGCCTCTTGTTTTGACATGTAGTTCAACAGCGCCCTCATTTGGGCTGTTTCATTTTTCCAGTGTCAAAGAAAGAAAAATCCATCAGTCCAGATCATTAAGCCACATGCTTTGTCACACTGTTGCAGCTATGATGTCTGTAAAGAAATCTATCAATTAATGTGCAGATTTTCGCCAACTGATTAAACTGTTACAGTTTTACATTTTGTTAATCAGAATCAGAATACTTTATTAATCCCGAAGGAAATTAGGGTTACAGCAGGCAGTACGCTAATGGCGCATGCGCACTTACAAAGGAACCTTCTGACCAACTTTACACAAACATCACATTGGGGAGACATGTCAGAAAGGTAGGCTGAGAGGAAAAAAAACAACAAAATACATAACATGAGGTAAGAGGAGGAGAAACAAAACCACACTCAGACTGAGTGTGAATATAAATGTATATTAAAAAAAAAACAACAGCAAAAAAAGTTCATCATAGCCTACTTCTACCACCTGACGCCTTGTTCTCATTTATTCTGGTGAATCTGTGTGATGGCATGGATCTCTTCCTGTGGATGAGAAATCAGAAAGATAACGCACATAAAGGCTTTTAGGATAGTAAAGGTTGCAGACCTGTTCTAGACAGGTTAGCATGTCCATCCCTTGAGCTGTGACACACGTTCATTTTACTGTATTTAACTGATTTTTTTTTTTTTTACCTGCAAACGTACTCACAATATACAGGAAAAGTATTTTTTCCTCCTTAATTTTGATGTATAAATAAAATATTTATAAACTGTTACATGTTTCCAGCAGAGATTTCTCAAGTTTCTGCTGCAGTTGCGTCTCCAGAATGTTTTCATAGCAGTGGTCATGTGGAGTGTCGCACCAAATACAGAATTTCCAGTTTTATTATAGTGTCGTCAAATACAGGTTACTTGAAAAATATGTCAAAAAGAGAGACAAGAAATATATGCCTAGTTAATTTCCTGCTGTTAAAGATGATAACACTGAAAACCAATAAGATTTTGAAATTCATAATAATCAGTTTTAAGCAGGAATAAATAAGAAGTTAATGTTTCAACTCATTGTAGGGTGTCGCTCTCGTTTGCGCACGTTTATTAGAATTAATACCAGCATAGGATAGTCTTGACAGCAGTGTTGGTAAAGTTACTTGAAAAAAGTAATTAGTAACTAATTACTGATTACTTCTTTAAAAAGTAATCCCGCTACTTTACTGATTACTCATTTCAAAAGTAATTAGTTACTTAGTAATTTTTTAAAAAACATGATACACAACGTGAATACGTAATAAAGCAACAGACCTTTCAGCCCAATTCTATTTTTCATGCATAATCCATCATATGAAATTGAATCAAATAGAAAACGTTTTATGAGTTTTAATCTTTTAATTTTACGCACACTGCATTAAGCAAAGATTTAACTATATGAAACAGTTTTTGACTTGAAGAAATTGTTTAACATTTAAACTTATTTTCTGCACATTCTGCATATTCTGTTTACACTCTTTCAAATAGATGCAAGTAAAACACAGCAGAAAATAAATAAAATCAAAGATTCAGCGGCACTGAGTCCTGTCGCTCTTAAATCTATGTTCACCTGTTTAGCAGGAGTGGAGCAGGTGGAGGTTTGCCTGGTGTCGCAGTCATGTCCCCAGGGGGATCCGGGGGTTTCTCTGTGAATGTCACGTTCCCGTGGCAGCGTGCTAGGCGCTCGCTCAGATTTGAAGTTTGATTTTTTGCTGTAGACAGAAGTTTTCTTCCCATGCAGAGTGTACAGTGTACGCTAATGTTATTTGTCACTTTTTACGGACTAAAACTTAAAGTAATGTAAGTACGGCCACACTTTAAACTGCACGGTCGTACTCCATCACTCCATATTATCCGTTGTTGATCTGCACACGTCTGTTGCTGCCACGAGCGTCGCACATGCTTACGTCACTGTCATGAGACACTCTCACAAACAAAATCATGAAGGTTTAGTAACGCAGTAACGCAGTAACGGAGTAACACAGCGTGCTTACGGGAAAGTAACAGTAATCTAATTACTTTTTTGCAATAGTAATCTCTTACACTACTCGTTACTTGAAAAAAGTAATCGGACGCCCATCTTCGCTTGCCAGTGGGGGGCCACTGGAGGGGGCAGCAAATCTTGGGTGGTGGCCAGTGCCCCCATTGCCCCCTCTTAATGGCACCCCTTCCGGCCCTAAAAAGCTGTTTATTGCACTGAGATAATTTTAACTAAGAGACAGCTGTGCATGTAGGTTGCTTAATGAACAGCTGTATATACAGTATATACAACCGAACTTTAAATACAAAGCTTTGGTTATATTGTTTATGCTATTAGGATGAAGGACGTCCTTTTTTCATGTATCATTAGAGGTATTTATGGATTTTTACTGTTTCTAAGCTCAGCACTCAACACAGCTATGGTAACACAGTGCTTTTATCTATTGTATCACACAGTAAAGAGGGTTAAAATTAAACTAAATTCAATTATCCCCTGGAGCAATGCCAATTTTCCCCTTCAAGAAGACCATGTTTGGAAAAGAGCTGATACAGTCTTTGAGAGCTGACTTTTTACTCCCTTGAAATGAGGAACATCAGCCCATTATATCACAAAGACAAACAGCTCAGTCTGAACAGGTTGAGGTCAGTCTGGTCAGCCTGTCTGCCTCGCCTCTCAGTCTGGAGAAACGGGCACTCACCCATGGCTGCTCATGCTGCACCTATCAGTGCTGTGGGGTAAACAACTCCCCCTCGATCTCAAGCTGTAGTAGCTCTCGGAGGCCTCAGTTAAAGCCAGCGGCATTGATCTGGGCTCTGCCCAATCGAGTGTCTAATCAGGTCAGATATTAATGCCGTCTCAGGGACTAAGGTCACACATGCACACAGAAGTAAAGGAGTAAAGCCCACTGTACTCCTGTTAACATCAGTCCAAAAAGAGCCTACAAAGCTCGAGACTCCTGTGTTATACTGCCTTGCTGCCTTTGTCCAGCCTTGTTGTCAGGGGAGAGGCATGTACGGCATGACGGGGCTACCCCTAAACCCTCCTGGAGCCCGTGAATGAGAGGATGGGCAGAAGCAAGGGAAGAAAAGCAAAGGAAATACACTCATCATTGCATTAAAGGAGCGTTGGACAGAAGGGTCCAAGAAGAAGAGGCCAGGGAGGGAGGGAAGGAGGCGGTGGTGGCAGTAATGGGGTCTTTGTTCTGGTTGGTGTGACTCACAAAGCCCTGGCCAGGGCCGCACAGCTTAGTTACCCTTACCAAACACAGAGAAGCAGGAGGGAGGAGTGCATATGGGTTTGTGTGATTGGGGTCCGTTTTGGGGCTCTAGGTCGAGGTAATATAGGTCCAATACTCTGATTATTTACACATTTAATTTTATTAATACTGCTTTAGCATCCAGCCCCTCTGATGATGGCTGAATAAATTAAAGTGGATTTGGTGGTGGCAGATGGCATTGTTTGCACTGTTTTACATGCCACTGTGGCTTATATTAGGCCTTGCCAAATTAATGGGATACCCTCTGGATGATTACATGAAGCTGTAGCTTGTTTAGGCTCACTATCTGGATTCAATTACAGCAGTCAAGACGTGAAACACCATTCAGGAAATATGCTCTTATCACACGGTGTGACTCACACTTCTTTAAGTGCTTGTTCTTCAATATCAGCAATTAAGACGGTTAAAGACATCTGGTGGTGTGCAAAGCATTGTGTGTGTGTGTGTGTGTGTGTGTGTGTGTGTGTGTGTGTGTGTGTGTGTGTGTGTGTGTGCGTCTCAGCTCAGTTTAGGCTTTAAGCAGGATGTCCTGTCCTCCCTGCTGCTATTGTGGAGCGGTCAGCCTGCCAGACGCTACTCCTAAAGACCACTTCCCCTCTGTCAAGCACCTCACTCTCTGTGTCTCTGTCACACAAAAACACATTGTTCACACGGACACACAAGCACACACATGCTCACATACTGTAGCGCCCCATGCCAGCCTGAACACAATGAAAACCTGGCCAACACCGCCCTGTCACCTGGTTAAAAATAACTCTTTTTGCAACAGATTATGGCTGTGTTTTAACAATAGCAGGACTTTGATCAGCCAAAATAGCACTACGCTGTTATTTTGAGGTATCACTCACCAGAGCTGACTGTTATGTTTTGGCTCCGTAAAGTTGGCAGGCACCCCGAAGATGTCACATCCATTTTTTTTTATTGTGCTGTATTTATACTGTATATAATAGGGGGGGGAGAAGACTGTATTCTCTCTGTCAGATCTGAGGTTTTACATATCAGGAGATAATTTTTAAAATCCAGGTCTCAAAATGATTTAAATACTACCTCAGATCGTTATTTAACAGTTAGCTGCGGTAAAGCAGAAGAAGTGTGTGAAGAACGAATTACGCCGCATGATTCAACAGCTTGTAGAACCACTTTTAGCAGGAAAAACATGAAGTTTTCTCACAGTGTTGTGGAGGAATTTTGGCACACTTCAGTTCATCGAGGTCTGCGGTCGTTTGTTTATGCACAGATCTCTTCAGGTCCCACCGCAGCATTTCAATCATGGCGATGTCTGGACTTTGACTGGGCTGTTGCAACATTTGGACTCTTTTTTTTCTTCTTCAGCCGTTCTGTTGTTGATTTGCTGGGCTCATCGTCCACTTACGTGAACCAGATTCAGCCAAGCTTCAGCTGTTGGATACATGGCCCCGTATTTGACCCTAGAATACTTTGTGGTTGACTAAATAGAATAGAATAGAATTCAACTTTATTGTCATTGCACATGCACAGGTGCAGAGCAACGAAATGCAGTTTGCATCCATCCAGAAGTGCTTTAGCCATGATATAGATATATTACAAATATATATTAGCAATAATATAGATATGTAAGTATATGAAATGGGTCTATTATGGTATGTTATAATGTACACGGTATGAAGTATGTTATGAATATTCTATAACTATAAGTATGTACAGGCTGTAGTGAGTACAAGATATGTACAGGCTATGAACAGGATATAAATATGAAAAACTATACAGAAATATGAGATATACAGCCATACAGAAATGTGAACTATGCAGGTTATAAACAGTTGTAGATTTAAAAATTATGGTATTGTACAGAATGATTATTTACACAGAACTATACAGTAGTGCAGTTAAGATAAGTAAGATATGTGGATAATTTCTACAGAGGCTACATAAAGTGCTAGTGGTTGTGAGTGGTGGTTCAGTCCATGTTATTATTGTGTGTATGAGGGTACAGTTGTCCATTGTGTGTGTAGGTGGTTGTGGTGTGTGTATGTCCAGTCCATGTGTTAACGTGGGTCAGATGTCAGGAGGCAGAGTTCAGGAGTCTGACAGCTGTGGGGAAGAAGCTGTTCCGGTACCTGGTGGTCTTAGTCCGGAGGCTCCTGTAGCGCCTCCCAGAGGGCAGGAGGGTGAAGAGTCCATGTGATGGGTGACTGGGGTCTTTGCCTCCAAGGTACAGAGCTGCAAAACAACCACAAATCATCACCCTCTGCCACCATGCTTGACAGTTGGTATGAGGTGTTTGTGTTGATATGCTATGTTTGGTTTTTGCCAATAGCGGCGCTTTGCATTATGGCCAAACATCTCCACTTTGGTCTTGTTTATCCAAAGAGCATTTTTCCAGATGTCTTGTGGTTTGTTCAGATGCATTTTAGCAAACCTAATGGATGCAACCATGTTCCTTTTAGAGAAGAGTCTTTTTCCTTGCAAACAAGCCGTTCCATCTTAATGTACTAATGTTTCTCACAGTAGAATGATAATAATAATAATAATAATATGGATTGCATTTATATAGCGCTTTTCGGACCCCTCAAAGCGCTTTACAATTCCACTATTCATGCACTCGCACATTCACACACTGGTGGAGATCGTAGCCACAGCTGCCCCGGGGCAGACTGACAGAAGCGAGGCTACCATATCGCGCCATTGGCCCCTCTGGCCATCACCAGTAGGCCGTAGGTGAAGTGTCTTGCCCAAGAACACAACGACCGAGACTGTCCAAGCCGGGGCTTGAACCGGCAACCTTCCGGTTACAGGATGAACTGCCAACTCTTTGAGCCACGATAGCTGATAGACTTCAGATTGTTTTGAAATGGGCTTGTAATCCATCCTAGATTGATGTGCAGGAACAGACCTGCTAAAGAAATAGATAGGCTGGGGAGTGTGAGGAGTTTACATGTTCTCCCTGAGCCTGTGTTGATTCTCTCTGGGTACTCTGGGTTCCTCCCAAACAGTTAGTGTGATCAGGTTAACTGGTGTTTCTAAATTGCTCGTAGGTGTGGATGTGAGTGCTTGTTTGTCTCTCTGTGTTAGCCCTGCGACAGACAATTGAACAGTCCAGGGTGCACCCCGCCTTTCATCCTGTGGCAGATGGGATATCTATCTCCATTATTACAGCAGTTATCTTGTGGTTGAAATTTTTACTTCAATATAACTGCGATGTTATTATGAGGCAGCACTTACTCCTAGTGAATGTTTATGAATTGCTGCATCTTCAACAATATTTCAGACCGTTTGACATTTCTTCACCATAGATTGGTGCTACCTTATTAGAAATAATTCTGCACTGTAACTTGCACTGTTTTGAAACTAATTATTGACTGATGATGTTTTCAGGCAGCATGTAATTCCCTCAGAAATAGTCAGCAACCCAGGAACTCAGTTCATCTCCCAGGCATGAAAGACCTAATGTTCAGCACTCAGAGCCTCGGAGTTCAGCTCAGGTTTTCATTCCCAACATGTTGGTCAATAAGAGAGGCTAAACCAAGAACTAAAAACAGCTCTCTGCTGTGTAACCCCCCCCAAACCCCTCCTCCTGGTCCTCTCAACTGGTGTGGGTTGGGTATGCACATAACTCACTTACCTCCTCTGCTACTGGTTTTTTGCCCTTTGAACAATCTCTAGGGTACCAGCCTCCAACTTTTCCTTCCGGTGAATCCGACCTTGCCGTGCCATCTGTCCAACTCTAACGAGTAGGCAAATGTGGACCCAGACCCAGTTAATTGTTGTTGTGGTTTTCTCTGCATTATTGTTGGGTTCTCATCTTACAATATAAAGGGGGCTATAAATATGAGGTGACTGTTGTTGTTATTTGGAGTTATATATAAAAAAAAATTGAATTAAAAATATTGACAGAGAGCAAAAAACAAGAGGCAGCCAACATCAAAAAATGAGCTTTGAATGTCCCTGGCAAACCTGGAAAACTATTCCTGAAGACTACTTGAGCAAATTAAAAGGAAGCTGTACTGAAGAATATAGATGATCATACCAAATATTGACTTGAACAATGAAGTTATACAAACTTTTTGTTTATGCCCGCACATCCTCCAATAAAATCTCTCCATCTTTATCTCATCCAAGCAAAATAAAAAAGAAAGACTTTTGTGATGGATCACTCTTGTGTGGCCCTCTCTCCTTGTCCTCTCCTTCTTCACAAATCTCTATTCACTCTCTCCCTCCTCCCCTCCTCTCCTTCTCACTGGCCGAGGTACTATTGTCTCGTTTCCTGTCACCGTGCGGGCGGCTCTCCGCACGCGCACAGCAGGCGTGGCGGGTTGTGATGCGGTCACATTTGTAGCGGACGGACGGAGCGAGTCGTCAGGATTTGCGGCTCGCTTAAAAACCAGTGGTTTGCGCTGGTGGGTTACAGTTTAACTCGTGAGAGACTCTAAGGAAAGTAGTTTGCAGTCGGAGCAGCAGCAAAACCTTTAAGCTGGGAAATAAAAGAAGGTCTGGAGGGTTTTTTCGCCCCCCTTTTGACAGCTGCGCCGCTGCACCGACAAACATCAGTGACCGGGAGGTGAGCTGTCACCATCCATTCAGCTGTCAGTAAGTTTGCTCTGCTTTGTCTTTAAGCTGCAATAGTTCCCTTTATAGCTGATGATAACTGATGATTTTGTCTCTAGTGGAGAAAAAAACAAAACACCTTTTTATCGGGTTCTGGTTGTTTGAAGCTTCTGAAACCAGCAACATGTCTAACAGCTTTAACAAAGAAAACCTAAGCTGTGGATGGAGTGATGCAGCTGAAAGAAATACCATTAGCATCTGTCTGTAATGCTCATTACTACAGATTTTTTGCAGTATGGATAGTATGAGTAGATTTATGTGTATTTGTTGTGCATGTAACAGCCTGGTTAAATTACACTACGTCCAGCACCATATTTGTTCTTTTAGTTTTCTTTATTTTTAAAACATTTGATTAATAATTTTGTGTATATATTATCATAAAATAGTTAAATGATAAACAGGTCCAATACATTTTCTCAGGTCTCAATCAATACTCGAATTGGGATCATAGAAGAAGAAAACTAGCAAATGTTCACATTTATTAATAATAATAAAAAAGTTCTAATATTGACTTTTTTTTTTGACTGTTTCTGCTTTGATCTAAGTAACACCCAGAGGACTTCATGTACTGTTGTGAAGTAGTCAAGATGTCCGTTTATTACACCGCGCTGTGCGTCTCCTCGTCCTCCACCTTCAGCCCTGTGTGCTTTCATTCTTTCTAGCATGTGAGAGAAAGGAACAGCTGGATGTGTGCTGAGCTCTGAACTCGATCTGTTGGTATCAGCGAGTCTCCAGAGGCCTGTTTCTGTCGCTGCTACGGGGGGAGACCCCGTAACCGTGCAGCTGTCCACGACCTGTGCGAGAAATCACACACTCCAGGCTGAGAACCCTCAGCTGGACCACTGGCAATCCACAACATGCTCAAACCTTGGAAGTTCTCCTGACTTTTAAACAAGCTGTTCAGCTGCCAGATTCCTGGTTCTATAGGCTCTGCTGCATTTAAAGGCAACAACAGCTGACGGTGAATCAGGGACGCTGTCAGGGGTCCTGGGCCTGAGCCACGGCACACAGAAAAGCATAGTGTTAGTGTGTTTGTGTGGGAGAGAGAGAGGGAGGACTGGCACATTTAAAGTGTTTGCCTGTTTGTGCGTTCACATGTGGAGCCTTGTGCATATGTAAGCGTGCGTCTGGTGCAGACGGGTACAGTAGGGGTATTGTAAAGGCTGATGGAGGCACAGGACAGTGCTGATGGACTAGTGTACGCTTTACTCCATCGAACTTGAAAATCCATATTTGATATGTTCGTCTTTATTTATCAACACAGCCTGAACTCTCATTACTTTGTACGTGCGTTGGAGAGTCTGTTGAGAGCACCTCACTGCTTGTTTAGTGTAATTGCATAACCCAGATTTAGCTCTTGTCGGGTTATTTAACTGGGTGGGAAAGCATGGGTACATTTCCATGGAAGACCAAAAAAGAAAGTTAGAATTAGAGTTTTAGGTGAAGCTTGAAAAATGATGGATGCAGGAATGGAGAAAGGAAAGTTACTCTTATTTTGTGTAGCAATTTCATGCCCATGTTCTTTTACATGGAAATGCTTCTTTCCTCTAACTTACTTCCACTCGAACACTGTGATTCACTGGAAATCATTACCCCAATCCAAATAATGAATTTGTTGTGGATGTGGCAGAGATAAGATAGTTACCACTCTCCAACACATTTCCATCTGCCTACTTCCTGTTCTGACCTCACACATTCAGATTTAGCATCGAGTAAACAACTTGGGAACACATTGTCTGGAACAATATCAGATCAGTGTAATTGTTAATGTTTGACAAAACTATTGTATTTCACCCCACAGCAGTGCTCTGTGATGGTGGGAGCCGCTCTCAGCTGCTCTTTCCACCACGCTGGGTTATTTACTTCTTCCAGCTGGAGTTCAGCCATACATTCATTTTACGTTGCACTCTTTGACTCTGGTTCATGGACATAAATGGAATTTAAAGGAAATATGTAGATATCCCACTACAGTACATATTCCGGTCTCTAGCTATGTTATCTCACACAGTCCTGAAAGCAGCTAGAATGGTGAAATAGTTATATATTCAGTAATTTTGTTTCACTTCCTCTGATTAGACGCTGCTGTGAAAGGCCAATATCTGTTCAGATAGAAGCAGTTTCACAGCATACTGACATAATGTGTCTGCACCCTCAGTTTTTGTTTTATCTTATCTTTGATATGAAAGATTACTGGGATTACATACAAGACTTCATGAAAAGTAGCGTGGTTATTCATTCAATATTCTCTCTTTTTATGGGCGTAAAGTTTCCCAGTCTGTATATGTGCACTTTTAAATGGTATATCCCAATTTTGTAACTGTTATAGCAAATAATTACATATAAATCCCGTGAATTAATTGAATTGACCCATTATTAGCGTTACATTTATGAGAGAAATTGATACTCTGATGCTAATCGATACTGAAACTTACCATCCGATTGACACTATTGACACTACGCTAACCGTGCCGTGTTCACCTCTTCCTGTGGAAACAACTCCGCACAGCACTGCAGCAGGGAGGCAGAGGCTGAACTTGTGACCTGCAGTTGACATTAACAGCACTAGAGAAGAATTTCTGCAGAGGTTCCACTTCTGCAGCATTGATGTCTTTATGTTATCAGCTAGCCAATAGTGTGAATTTAACAAGATGTCACAGTTATTTGTGTCTAAAAGGTTATTTTCCTCCTAAACTGACTGAAGCAGAGAAAAGTCGACCAGCAACTAGAGAGAAACATTCACAACCTACCTTACTAACTCTACTCGATCAGCTACAAATGTAGTAGTGCCAGATAACAATATATAATAATCATGCAGTTCAAGATTCAGGTTTACTATTTTCTTTTTGGCATGTCTCACGGATAAGTGCATTTCAGAATTAAAATATAAAATATTGTGATACGTGATCACGAGCGACTCCATGATTCCCGATCCTGTCACATACAAACATGACCAAATCTTAGGACTGTATCAATACGTACATATAGATGGTTTTGGATGGATAATCCATGTAGTTTTGTTTGTATCTTGTTTCTTTTAAATACTTGGCTCTATCTGGTAGTTTCTTCAGAATTGTACACTTGAGATTCAGTTGTAGAAACACAGAGTAATACATTTCAACCAGCCATATTCCTAAAATGAAATCTGCATCATGTTCAGTTGTACCACATTTTCTGGAGAACTAGAGTGGTTTTGTAATGAGGAAGTGACTAAGTGCTTTTTCCTTCTTTCTCCACAGGAGGACTGACGATGACTCCGAGGGGGCTTGACTGGTGGATCCCCTGCTGACATCTTTGATCCCCAGATTTCCGCTCTAAAACACCCCCGTTTCCCGACAGCTTTTGAGCTGTTGTGCACCCTTTTATTATATATTTTTTGGAGCCCCCCCCCCCCTCTGCGGCTGAGCTTTCAACATGGCTAGCCTGGTGATCAACGAGACCGGAATGGTGGACTGTGGGATTGACGACTCCTTCAAGTACAACTTGTACTCTGCGGTTTACAGCGTGGTCTTTGTGTCGGGCCTGATAACCAACTGTGCCGCACTCTTTGTGTTCTGTTTCCGGATGAAGATGCAGAACGAGACCACGATGTTTATGACCAACTTAGCATTATCTGATTTAGTGTTTGTTTTCACGTTGCCGTTCAAGGTCTTCTACAACGTGAACCGCAACTGGCCTTTTGGAGATGGACTGTGTAAGGTTTCGGGAACAGCCTTCATCACTAACATCTATGGCAGCATGCTCTTCCTCACCTGCATCAGCGTGGACCGCTTCCTGGCGATAGTCTATCCGTTCCGTTCACGCGGCATCCGGACGCGGAGGAACGCGGCACTGATGTGCGCCGCCGTGTGGCTCACCATCGTGGGAGGAGGCATTTCGGTGACCTTCTTCTCTACCATCAACAGCCGACACAAAGCCACCACATGCTTCGAGGGCTTTTCCAAGAACACCTGGAAGACCTACCTGTCTAAAATCACCATTTTTATCGAGGTGAATCGAGACGCACAACATACAGATGACTTTGTTTTTTTATTACGATAACCAAGACGTAGAATTAAGGTGTAATTTTCATAATGTTTTTATTATTATTATTTTTCCAGATTGTTGGTTTCCTTCTCCCGCTCTTGGCCAATTTAATATGCTCCTCGCTGGTTCTGCGGACGCTGCGTCGCCCCGTGACTGCTGGTCACGGCTGTGACAGTAAGAAACGCGTCCTGCGGATGATCCTTGTCCATCTTGGCATCTTCATCATCTGCTTCGTCCCGTACAACTCTATCCTCTTCCTGTATGCCCTGGTGCGAACCCAGGCCCTGGCTAACTGCACTGTGGAGCGCTTTGTCCGAACACTTTACCCCATCACTCTATGTCTGGCCAGTCTCAACTGCTGCCTGGATCCTGTGGTGTACTACTTCACCTCGGAGAGCTTCCAGAAGAGCCTGACCAAGGGAGGCAAAGGGTCTGGTTCTCGACCTGAGAGCATGCCCCGCAGTGACACGGAGACTAAGGACACAGCGACCGCTGTCCCGAGCGACACCCACACTCTGACCAGCAACGGAAAAGAGACAAAGATCACTGAAATTCAATTGTGACTCAAGAAAGAAGGAGAAGAAGGACAGGGTGGATTTGACTGCAACTCCTGAATTTAACAAATATAACAATCACTTGTTTGGTCCTGAAAATGGAAAACACATAACTCACCAGATTAGTTAAGTCCTGAGGTAAGTCCTGAGGCATGGCCTGGGCTTTATGGATTAACCCGGCACCGGGGATCAGAGGAATGTATCTGTGGTTTTTATGAGCGATCGCTACAGGGACCAGAGATCCAACTACACTGGGACTATTGCAATAATCCAGAGACTCAAAGTGGGTCTATAAGAGATTCTGACATGTCATTGATCAAACATAAGACATGCACACTTCCACTGGACTCTGAAGAAGATGATGTCCATCCACATGCTGTTTAGTACTTGTGTAACACAACAGTTCCTTAAGTATTATTGTTATAAAGCTCAAGCTTTCACAGTGCATTATATCACTGTGGTGTGTTACTAGTAATGCTACTGTGTAACACAGCATTGTGTTGACCTGCTGAGTCAAATGTATCTCATCATGTTGAAGACTGAGGCCAGTAAATGTCTGTTTTTGAATTGCATTCATTATTTCTTTGCTCCGGTCTTGTGATTGTCCTCACAGTCAAACCTGCTCTGAGCTGCTCTTTGTCAGCGAGCCTGTACATTTGAACTTGTGCGGGAGTTTTTCTACTCCAGCTTCTTGGTTTTTCACCAAGCAGCCAGTGTGAGCTTGTCCTCAGCGCAGAGGGCAGCTCTGATTTAGTTGAGGACCTCGGCCTGTGTGCTGTGTCACAGGCCAAATGCTTATTATGACTGGAGCAATGGTCCATTGTTTGCCTCTGAATGAGGTCTCTCTGTCTTAATCCGGCCTTAGACTGCAGATCTGCTCAAAGTCTCTTACACACAGCAATGTGCAAACACTCCAAGTACAGATGAACGCCTTTAGCTGTTTACCCAAAATCATGGATTTAAACTGCATGGAGCACAAAACACTTGTGTGTCAGCAGATTTGGATGTTTGAGTGTTGCTGAATTTGCATGTATAAAATGCAGAAATGTGCAGAATTTGTCCAATCTTTATCATAAAGTCCGAAGAGGATGCACAATCCGGTCAGAGCAGCATCTGCAACAGCAAAATAAATCGATTTTGCAGCTGAATCTGTGAAGAAGCTTCTGAATCAAGTTAAACTTTGGTCAAGTTTGGCATCTGAAGATGGAGGAACCACCTGTAGCTTAACTGCTCTACATTAAACTTGATTTATACTTCTGTGGGAAATCTACATAGTAACAGTAAACTTCTTTTATCCCCACACCTCAGCCTTATGTGGTATGCATCAACCTGACGTTTAGTTACATTTCTCTGGATGTACACAGCAGGTTATTTAGAAATTTCCTGTTATCAACCGAGCTACAAGTTTGGGTTGGATTGCTGGATTGTTTGGAGGGCTTTATTTAATCTTCAAACCTTGGAATTATAAACGGTCCAGAGAGTAAACAACACAGTGTAGAGCAACCAGCTGTGTTGCTGAACTCTACTGTCTTCCAACCCAGCGAGTTTCAGTAGTTCAACAAGTAGTCCCTATGCCACCATGCTTGAAGCACCACCTCGTGTTTGGTCATTAAAGCATAAACTGTAGAGCCGAGGATGACAGCAGGCTCGCAGCTTCTCTCTGTGTACTTACAGCCCCCTGCTGGAGAAGCTCAATAAATTCTCTTGGGGTCATTACACTCAATGTTGGTACAAGTTTAGTTTTTTCTATTCCTTTACTAAGCACTACAACTTTTGCTTTCCATTGCCTTAGTTGGCAATGTAACAGAGTATACCTGCGTCTGGTTGTGTGAATGATGGGAGCATTTAGCAGCAGAACGACAGAGGGGCAGCAGTCTTTGGATTCTCAGATTTGGGGTCAAGGGTAGCAGGAGGAGAGAAGAAAACCAGGAAATAAGAACAGTGGGAGTGTAGAGGTATGCTTGAGCTTCACCCCCCTGAGTGGTTCATTCCAAGAGTGTTGCGTCACTTTTTTTCCATTTTTTTGAACAGATAAGTCAGATGTTTACCGTTCGAGTACGTCTGTTAAAGAAACAGTCTGCCCTAAATCTAGAAGAGAAAAATGCACATGGCTCAGTCATTTATGACCAGTGGCTTGTCCTGACATCTAGTGGCAACAAGTTGGAAGAACAGCAATTTTTAATTTGAGACAGACTGACCACAGACCACGTTCCACGTTTGCTGATTATTTTCCTGTTTTGGGCTTTATAGTCACCTGTTTGTCAGCCCTGTAGAAGTCTCAGAGAAGCCATAAAGCAGCTGGGGCAAGCATGGGGAGTGTTATCAAGTTATTTTCTCTGGGTGTGGCCTCATGCTGTGAAAGTAACAGGATGGCGAGTGTATGTCATAAAGCTGAAGCGTGGTTAAACATTTCTACAGCACGTGAAGGCTTTCCTTCTTTTTTTTCTCTAGGCCTCGTGAACGAAAACCATAACCACAAGAACAAAGCCTAAAAGCTACTGCTCATTGTCAGAGGACACACAAATGCAGCTTTTTTATTTAATTTTTCTTTTTAATTTTTAGAGGACTAGGAGCCAGGTAACCTACATTTTGCTGAATAAATACTATGATTTAAAAACGGAAGTACGGAATCTGAACGGGGAAGCAGATGAGTGCAGTTATTTTGGTCACAACGGCTGTCAGTGAACTGAGACAACTTTTACACCGTCAGTGTTGCACTGTAGATGTATTTAAATACAGACTGCAAAGAAGAGAAGCTAAAGAAGAGGGCTGATTTCCTCGGGATCTGCTGCGTCTGCGGACCAGATCACCTTTGAAAAGATCTTTTGAAAATCTTCAGAAATTTCTGAGGTAAGAAAAACAAGCATGTGTCTGCATCTGCCTGTGCTCTTTCAGCGTAACCTCTTTTCCTGCTGCCATTTGGTTTAACCACATGTGTGTCCAACTCTGCTCGTCTTAGCTCTTACGTGCGTTGCTAAGCACTAGTGACGAGGTCGCAAACTGCAGAAAAACACTCAAACGCAATAGGGCAGAGCTTCCCCTTCCCTTCAAAACTGGCAGCTAGTTGAGTCAGAGAACAAGTGACACCAGATCCCGCCACCTCCAGCAAACACTCTCATATCACATCACCATCAGCTTCATGCTGTCTTCACCTGCAGTGCGCTGACAGATTCTTCTTTCGGCATCTGTTTACTCCTTTTTCTGCTGCAGAGCGCGAGGACTTTGTAGAAGGTGTGCGCGATGCTCCACGCGGTCGCTCCTGGCTCTGACCTCTACCTTCTGCCTATACGGGTGATTTAGAGGCACAAGAAACGAGGTATTGACACAGTGTTTGTTTGTGTAGACATGTCTGTGAGGGCGTCATGCTGCTGTGCCCTGCGGTCAGAGTCATGCTTTGAATTTTGCTGATGTTAACGGATTGTTATTAGTGCTTTCACTTTGCATTTAATCTTAAATCTGGAAATGTACATGTGTCGCTGTGTGCATACGAAAGCTTTTGTGTCACAAGATATAAAGACTTTGAAATTTCTGATACGCTGAAAAAAAAAAGTTATCGTTATTGTTGTTTTTGTTTCGATGTTGGCTAAAGCGAATCACCAGTTACTGTATCACCAATATTTAATCATATCAACTTGATATTTTATGTTAGCACGTTTAACAGCTATAAGAAACTCTTTACACGTGTTTCATGGTGTGTCATTAAAATGAATTCTCGGTTTCTGTAATTTCCTTAAGCACAACTCCTCAGATAGTATTACACAACTCTTTATCGTACAGGCATCATCAGGGAGCTTTTTTAAACTGAGAGTCTCACCAGCTGTCAGACAAGTCTAAACAGGCCTGAATCTGGTGAAGCAGTTTAAAAAACGACCACTATTACTGTGTTCCCCTCGTGGGCCTAGTGTAGGAAAGGGTGCGGACTTATAATGATGTTAGAGGAAGGATGATCCTCCCGTGATAAGCAGAGCCAGAGCCAGTCCCCGATCTTTCTTCCGGTCACTTCCTGCTGCCGTCCTAAGCAGTTTTTGATTTATTTTCACTTTAACAGCTTTTTCATGGCATTCTCATATAAAAACACATAATTTAAACTATTAACCATCACACAAGAATGGGGAGAAAAATCTAACTGAATCTTTTTTTTTTCATATTAGCTTGGCTGTGATGACCAAAATTACTTCATATAGAAAATTGTTGTAATTTTGCTATATGCCATTAGTGCAAGCCTTTTCTGTGTTTTGCTGGCTGCTGCTTTATGACACCTTGTTTTTATCTGGGTCTGCAGCTTACCAGTCCAATAGACTTTATGGCACTTATCTCCAGAGAGCAGCTACATCTGCTTCAAAATCTGTTTAGAAATTCCCACAAACAAGCCCCAAAGAAGAAAGGTGGGGATATCCTGACTGATCAGTAAGGAACAAATATAGTGAAGGAAGACTGATATTTCTACTTGTAGCAATTTATTTTTAGCTGATCTAGGAGGACACACCTCCCTCTGCCTTTCCATGTGCACACTGAGGTGAAACGAGGAGTAGCACATAGGATAGAGCAGGTGTTGATGTTGCAGCATGAAAGGGATCGCTGAGGTGGGTTGCAAAGTGGCTAACAGATTCAAATAGCATGAAATGAATGCCCCAGTTGATTTTCAAGCAAAAGCCAAACTCCTAAATTTTTTTCCTGTAGTGCTAATGACATCATCGGGATGATGATGTCAGGAGCAACAGCAACGAATGAAAGTGGATGAACTGAATTCATGGAATGCCCCTTTAATGAGTTGTTAACATTCACTTTTAGACTCAATGGTTACATCATCTCATCTAAATACACTTGATACTTTTTTACATATAGACGTTTGCAGTCATTCAGTTCTCTCACCCCAACCGGTCACCGCAGATGGCCCCGCCCCTCCCTGAGCCTGGTTCTGTTGGAGGTTTCTTCCTGTTAAAAGGGAGTTTTTCCTTCCCACTGTCACCAATGTGCTTGCTCTTAAGGGGTCATATGATTGTTGGGTTTTTCTCTGTATCTATTATTGTACGATCTACTGTACAATATAAAGCGTCTTGAGGCGACTGCTGTTGTGATTTGGCGCTATATAAATAAAATTGAATTGAATTGGATTTGAATTAAACCAGTATGCAGTTTTTTTGCAGTTGCTCTTGTTTTTTGGAGCATTTCTGTGTTAAACTGGGTTTAAAGCTACAAAGTATGTGTCGTACTGCAGGAGGCTTCACACCTGCCAAAGTGAAAATGTAGGTTCACCGTTGACTGTTGCTCTGGCAGCTGCTGATTCCAGTTTTCAAAGCAAACTTTTAGTTTCAACTTTCGCAACAACATTACGGGAAACATGAAGCACTGTTCAGCTTTTTTCTTTCCACGCGCAGGCTACGAGATTTTTATTAAGGGCAAATTATGAAAATAAAGATAAAGCGCAACGTGTATGTGCATCGGATGTTTCACAAGTTCTCCTCTGCCTTTCAGCTGTCAAAGGTACTTCAGCAAAAAAAAAATTATGATCAAAGGAAAGGCACGCTTGGTTATATCATCGGTGTCACTGTGAGGGAAAAAGAAATATGGTCACCAATATGACTGAATGCAACTACAATGAAACGGTCTGGAATCAGAAAATGGACGTGATATACACCTACTTCTACCTGATTCTCTTCATACCCGGGCTGCTGCTCAACACCACTGCACTCTGGGTCCTCCTCAGATACATCAGGTAACACTCATACAAGTTCACACCTTTAGATTTTCAGGTATGTTTTCACTAACTCTCTGTATGTGCCGTTTAACAGCAAGAAGACCAAGGCGGTGATCTTCATGATAAACCTGGCGATCGCAGACCTGGCCCACATCCTCTCTCTGCCCCTCAGGATCTATTATTATTTCACGCACACCTGGCCCTTTGGACGCGGTCTCTGCTTGTTCTGCTTCTACCTGAAATATCTCAACATGTACGCCGCTATAATGTTCCTGGTAAGCAGGCAGTTTAGGGAAAGCAAGCCTTGAATTTCCTGATAATGCTCATCACAGGGAACAAGGATAATCAAATGAGATCTTTCTAGTTTTCATTACATTGAAAATCAGTCAAATGTCAGTACAAAGCACTTTTGTTGTTGTTTTTGTTTTAAAAATTAAACTCCAAAGCAGAAAGTGATTTGAATGAAAGCCTCTGTCTTCCTTCTTGGAACTGCTTTGTTTCCTGTGCCTCAGAATAAATAACAAAGTAGCTTCTTTTCATTTCTCTCTGATTTCAGGTGTGCATCAGCATGCAGAGGTGTCTGTTCCTGCAGAAGCCGTTCACGGCTCGACGGTGGCGGCGTCGCTATGACCTGCTGATCAGCTTTGTAGTGTGGGTTGTGGTTGGTCTGAGCTGCTCTCCCTTTATCCTGATGCGGAGTAGCAACAACAGTAGCAAAAATGAAGTGGCATTAAACAGCACCCATGCCCAGTTTCCCTTAGGTGTCACCAAACAGAGTTTAGACTCCAACGCCACTTCGGCGGGCTGTTTTAAAGACTTGCCCATGCGCCAACCTCCTCTCTCGTTGACGATCACCATGCTGGTCTTTCTTGAGGCGTGTGGTTTCCTAATCCCTCTAGCATGCATGTCATACAGCACCGTCCGCATCTTCTGGTCACTCAAGGAGAAGCAGATCCAGGATCAGCACAACTCCTTCAACTCCTCAGCACGCAGCCGCCTCCACTCAGTCACCTCCAACTGCCAGGCGGAGAAACCGAATGAAAAGCACACAAATGGCGAGAAGCGGCGTGCTCTGCGGATGGTGGTGGGCTGCTTCATTCTCTTTTTGTTCTGCTTCGCTCCGTACCACCTCAACTTCGCGCTCTACCTGATGGTGAAGCAGAGTATCGTGTCCAGCTGCACTGTCAGAAGGGTGGTGCTCCAATTTCACCCAGTGTCTCTGTGCATGGCGGGCCTGAGCTGCTGCTTCAACCCCATCCTTTATTACTTTCTTACAGCCGAGTTTAGGATGCACCTCAAAAGGCGCACCTCCTCCTTCTCGTCCTCCATCTCCTCCCCGACCACTTCACCGACCCAGTGTCCTTTGCAGAGCAGACTCATGAGCACCTCCTCATACAGGGAGTAGCATTGCTCAGAGGAAAAGTCCATGAAGGATTCTGTTGAACTTTAAAGCCGACTGACACCGGGTCCAAGCTGGATATGATCAGCTGACATGTTGCAGCTGTCTGAACACAAACAACCCAAAAGACGTTGACCTGAGTTGTGTGAAGCCCGCCTCCTCTAAAGCAAGCAGAAAACACCCTCCAACATGCAGTATCGTAAACGCTGCCCAATGTTTCAGTTTGTGTGTATAAAACTTGATATAAGCTATGTAATAAAAGCTGTATGTGAAATGCACTCCCATTAAAAGCTTTAAGTCTCATCTCTGGCTCTGATGTTTGTTTCTTCACTGCGAGTTGGACTTTTTTTCTTTCAGGTAAAATGTGAAAACAGGTGCCAGCTCATTTTTGCTTCACTTCCTCTCAGAATGCAAAGTGGTGAAGGCAGTTGGCAGCAGTTACAGCAGCTCTGAAACCAGTAACTGTCAGGCGCCCCCCCACCCACCCATCTGTACAGGCCAAGCCTGAGCCAACTCTGAGTCTGCATCAGCCCCCAGACGCACAAATGCAGCCCACCTAAGGAAATCTACCAAGAATGAATCATCCACCAAAATGCACCTGCCTCTTGTTTCTCTGTTCTCACACGCATCAAAGTGTAGCGTTTGCTTTCTGACAGTGTCACATTGTAACTTGTGAAAGTTTGCATCGTGGCTTTGGTGTAAATATTTCTTTTTGATTGATTTTTTTTGATGTCCTGTCAATAAAACAAAAAAAGTGCGTGTTGACGTGTTGACTTTGTCCACAAGGAAATGGCAACTAAGAGTGTAATAGCAGAAGTGTCAAAAGAAAATTCTTGTAAACCACACCCCTACGCTCACAGGAAGCCCTCTGTGTGTGTGTCTGTGTGTGTGTGTGCGCGCGCTAAAATCCCCAGAACAGCAGACACACAGACGGGCGACACACATGCAACGAGTGATAGATAAGAAATCAAAACAGGAAAGAGTACGAGTGAAGACAAAAGTTAATGGATATGAAAGATAGATAGAGAGGTAGAATGAAAGAGAGAGGCAGAGAGAGAGAAAGAGGCGGGACGCTGAAATTAAAGAGTGTTAGAGGAGGAGAAAGGAGGATGGAGTTTTTTATCTGACGCCTCGGTCTTATCAGCTTTTCGTTTCTCCAGCATCTTTAAAGACAGAGGTGAGAGGATGATTATTAATTGCTAATAATGTTCAGAAGTGTTCGGAGAAAGTAGCGAGTGTGTGGGGGTTTGTGTGTGGATGCTTTCTATGTGGAGTCATGGCTCATGGGGGACCTTGTCTGTTTCTCCAGTGTGTGGAATGCCTGTTATGTTGAAGTGCGTGTGTGTGTGTGTGAGGGCCAGTATTGGGGTGTCTTGTCTTTATGTGTCAGTGGACTTCCTGGAGATCACGGCATATTTTCTTGTGTATCTGAACAGGGAACACACACGTGGAGGGACCCCGATGCTCACCGGCAGCGTTTTTGGTTCTGTAACACGAGGTCAGATCTTCAGAAAGCTGCTTACATGCCAGCAGCCCACAGACGGAGGTGAATCACAGCAGATGAGATTATGTGTTTCCACTGGCAAGACCTGATGAAAACTACTGAGTCCTAAGGTAGGGGAGCAGCACTTGCCTTTTCTTTTTAGCTTTATCTTTTTAAAAACAGCTCACTTCTCTCGGTTAGATGGAAATTTCAGCTTGATCCCGACGCTCGTTACCGTAAACATGTTACTTTCACAACAGATGGTCTTGGTTTGACTCCTGTACATACATGTTAAAGCCTCTACTGCGAGAAGGAAACGAGAGCTTGTCACAGATTAGCCTTTTGCACATCATACAAATCAACACACAGCCTTGGAAGGAAGCACATGGTACGTGCATAAGTGAGAGTAATAAGTGGAGAATCCTTTTCAAACAGTAACACACAGGTCAGCGGTCACTGAGTTAAAAGGCAGTCCGAGGGCTGACGGTCTACTGGGGCCTCGGCCTGAGCATAAAAGGCAGTAAGGGAGCTGAGAAGCAGTCCAAGCTTAGCATACCCCCTTTTTACAAATAAAATTCCACTGTTTGTTTGTGTATGATTGTGAGGAGTTAAGTTCAGGCCCAAATACTACTTTATACTTTATACACTGGTACATCCCAGGCAGGGATCGCTGTTTACACTCTGCTACATTTACTTACACACTGCTAAAGGTACAAGTTACTAAACAGGTCATTATCAAAAGACTGCTGCCTAAACTTCTTTGGCTTGTAACCGCTTACAAAAACAAGGAATACAAACTAACAAAAAAAAAGTGTAAATGTCTTAGATAAATAGCTTTAACATTGAAGAAAGTAAAAATATATTCCCAAATAAAGGTTTTTTGTTTTTTTCTAAAAAGGTCCACCCTATTAATCATTTTACTCCAACGCAGAATTTATCTCGTGACTCTTTAGGGGAGGGCAGACACACGGGTGAGAAGGCGATACTCAAACCATCTTTTTACTGTTGCAGCTGAAACAGCAGTGCAATGCTAGTAGCCAAATGTATGCATTCAAATGTAGTCAAATGTATTTAGTCATTTAGTCATTTCCCTGTAGAGAAATGTTGCGTTCTTTTAGTTAAGCAACAGGAACGCGAATATCGTGTATAAAAACCTGCTGAGGGAGCCCGTAAAGAGAACTAAGAGCAGTTAGTTAACCACTGTTTGTCTTGTGTTTGGCAAGTGCCATTTCCCCCTCACGCACGAAAATAGCTACACATTTTTTGCTGCGTGTTTTGAGTATAGTAGGTGCAAAAAAAAGAAAAAAAAAATGCTGTTCTGAACAGTTTACGTGGCAGTAAGTTTCTTGTCAAATATGAACAATATTTTACTGGCTGATTTGCATTTTCACATCGATAAAATGGTTCATAAATGATCCTGAGTTGTCCTGAAACTGGTTAAAGTAGGTCTAATATGCTTTGCTAACATTCTGCCATACATATATAGTGTTCTCATAGTGCTAAAAAAGGCCAAAGTTCCAAATAATGACATCAGAGTATGCATTACTAATCCCTGTGAGTCAAAGTTCAGGCTTCAGAATACTCTAAACACAGTTTCTGTTCTTTTTTTCACTACTTTTTGCTCTGGATGATGTCACTTAAAAATATCCCAATGCTGTTAGCACAGCAGCTCCACCCACCAGCTATTCAAACCTTTTGGTTGCAAGGAGCAGCCAATCAGAAGAAAGCTAGCTTAAAGAGAGGGGGAAGGGAGGAAGACAGTGTATGATTTAAGGGTCCACATGATAAACAGTGTCCCTTTTAAACTGATAGAGGATTAATGTACTAATGGAGGCCAGAAATAAACACATGGAGGTGTTTATTTGAGCATAGCAGGTGTCTGGGTACTAGGTATGTGGAAGATCACAACACCACATCGTTCCTGGGTTTGCTAGGGTCTAATAAGTCTCATTAGAAATAAGATAACAAGAAACAAAAGCTGATCAAAAAGAGGATGACAACAGTAAGTAAAAAAACATAATTTTAAACTGGTTTATACGCACTAAAGTTTATAGCTGTGGGTGTGTGCACCTATAGGCCGTTCAGTCCCTAACATTACTATTTCCATTTGAACCGAAAGCATTTGAAGATAATCTAAGTTGAAGGTCATCTAAAAGCTTTAAAATTTCAACTCTATTACTTTCATTTTCTGCTCTGTGTGTGTGTCACAAAGGAGGAGGGAAAAAAAGAAGCGCGTTACAGGCGTCACCTACATCGAAAAACCACCCGCGGTGCTGCTCCTCATCTCAAAGTGCTCTTTAGTGACAGGTTTTTCCTTGATCTGGGCTGTTAACCAGTTGCCTGGTCTGCCTGCGCTAACCACGCTAGTTTCACTTTGATGCCTTGCGCGGTAGTTATTTCACACAGACTCAGTGCAGGCACCATAATGCTCGGCAGTGAAGCAGCACGTGGGGGATTTTACCGACTTCTCTGCGGGTTTGCACGCTTGCTGTAAAGGGCACTGCAAAAACACAGCTATCAAGGATCATTGATTAATTACGTTATTCATAAAAACACATGGGAGATTATAGCTGGCAGGTGCTGCCGCCGAGCACAATGTCATCTGTGTCTCATCTAAAAAGGTTCCTTCTCCAATTCTGATGGCTATCTATGCAACATGCAAAACAGTAACTTTAATATCCCCAGGCTGCACTGGGCGAAAGCAGTTAAAACTCAACTGCGTCGCTGTCAAGAGCTGATTTGTACTACAGTGTGTGAGAAAACACAGGCAGAGACAGAACCTCTTGGTGTGAGGTGACAGCACAGAAACCTGTAGTTGTTTTTCTTCCTCTTTCTGGTAACACTTTCCACCTCCGACTACACTAACTTAACTTACTTTTCTTTCCTCTACCAGACCACCAGACTCTTTGGGGATCACAGAGAAGCCTGGAGGACACATCAGTGCTGGACAAAAACTTAAAACAAAAGACATTCTTTCTCTGTCTGACATGCCGCAGAGAGTACCAGCTGCACGGGCTGCAGCATGATGTAACCAGCGGCATGGATGCTCAAACCAACCCGTCACCGGACTACAAGCAGCTCTGCTGATACAAGCTTCCTGCTGGTTTGCAAGGCAGCTCATCTTAACACTGACATGAATGTCAGTTCTCCTAATATGAACTGCTCCAATACCAGTGAGATAATAGACTACCAGCACCATTTGTATGCCGTGGTGTACAGTGTGATCTTAGCACCGGGCCTGCTGGGTAACGTGCTGGCGCTGTGGGTGTTCAGGGCCTACATCAGAGAGACCAAGAAGGCCGTGGTGTTCATGATGAACCTGGCTGTGGCCGACCTACTGCAGGTAAAAAAATCCTCTTCAGTCGTATTCGGCACTTACTTTCTAGTTTAAACCATTACTGTGAAGTCACATGATGTGGTTGTGTGGTTAAGTGACCACATAGCCGTCCTCAGGGGTCAAGCTTTAATCAGGGAAGAAGTTTGCATGCAAGAAGTACTTGTTACACTACTCGTGCCTCTAATAGTTACATTTAGTGTTGTAATGCTGATCCTACAATACGGTTTTAAAACTGCAATAAAGCAAATTAGTGTAATGACCTCTTTAGTTTTTGTTCTGCTTTCATGTACTAAATTAGGAAGTCAAAAAAACAAAATGACTCTTAGATGTTGGCAGAATTGTGGGAGAATTCCAACCACAAGAAAAAACTTCCATTATAGAACACAACAACTACAGAAGTTCATCTCTTTATTCCAATGAACTGCCTAACGGGGAGGATTTTATTTTAAAAATCTATTTAGAAATGTTTCTGTTTACTAGATAACCAAGCGAGCTCCTTACCATCATCGCCAAAGAGCAAATATGTACATCAGCGTTTGCCTGCTGTTCTCTGCCTTCAATTTTGTCACTCTGGCCTCTCCTCAGGTGCTCTCTCTGCCTCTGCGGATCTACTACTACCTGAATAACTCCTGGCCCTTTGGGTATTTCTTCTGCATGTTCTGCTTCTATCTCAAGTACGTCAACATGTATGCCTCCATCTACTTCCTGGTTTTCGTCAGCATACGTCGCTGTGAGCTCATCATGCGTCCGCTGTTGTACAACTCGGGTCGACAAAAAGGAGACGTGTTAATATGTGGGATCATCTGGCTGATCATCTGTACCGTCTGCCTTGGATTCCCTCTGCTCAGACACGATCCTTCCTTGCCCGAAAGGAACGACACAAATAAGTGTTTCACGGAGCTGCCTCTGCGGAAGGATATCGGTTCTTCGGCAATGTGGGCCCTCTTGATTTTACTAGAGCTGTTCGGCTTCTTCGTCCCTCTCGTTTTGGTGCTAGGCTGCACGTGCATGACTATTTGGAGCCTTCGGGAAAATACAGCAAATGCTATTTCTGACAGAGGGGAGAAAAAGAGAGCGCTGAGGATGATACTAAGCTGTGCTGTAGTCTTCTTAGTGTGCTTTGTACCTTACCACGCCACGATGCCTCTCGACCTTATGGTCAAAGCTAAGAAAGTTACCAGCTGTGACTTTCAGAAACTGGTTCTTCGAAGTCACCCAGTCACACTCTGCCTGGCCAGCCTGAACTGCAGCCTGGACCCTATCATGTACTATTTCACTACTGATGAATTCTGGAGGCGACTGAGCAAGCCAGAGATACCGGAGAGCATACATCTCAGCCGGCGTCTGTCCTGTATAACCGGAGAACAGGACGAAGAGGAGGACTAAACTTCTGGTGGCGACAGCCTCCCCGCAACCACTAACTGAGACTGAAGACTATGCAAACTTCAACTTCCTGCAAACTATGGAAATAACATTTATGCTGAAACGGGAATGTGAAAATATGGAAGTAGAGTTTTAAAATGTTATTTTTTTAAACCTATTTATTTCTCAATAAATGTTTTTTTCCCCCTTCCCCCTCTCAATTTGCATTTCCTCGATGAAGGGCGAGTAGTGTCAGCAAGTGAAAGAGAGGAAAACCCCGAAACGCAGCGACAGTTTTCCTCCAGATCCAGTGTTTTGATAACCCGATGTCCTTCGCAGGATGATAAAAGGGTTAGTGTTGGTGCCGCTTTCACCGCCATTATAATAACAAAGCCACTGCGACATTCAGTAGGTAAACAAATGCAACTTTATTCAAACAACAAAGTGGAGTTCAGTTCAGTAGTTGCACACAACATTGGGCGTTTCCCCCCCTAATATCTTCTAGTATTCAATTAAAAAGCAGAGACAGAAACCCCATCTTTACAAACACACTTCCTGTTGATTGTCTCTGTGTGCAGGCATCAAGTAGGAAATCACTAAAAAATGACTTAAAATGTGCTCGACAGACTTCAGAAATCAAGGACGACTGTTTTCCATTTAAGCACACGATGTGTGTAAAGATCACAGGGAGCCATCTCGTGTTATAACACTACGGATACATAATAGTCAAATTAGATAACCGACTGTTTTCAAGTCAAATTAAGTGAAATTTCCCTTTAGCTTATTCATCGTTAGCTCATCACTCTGGTTTAGGATCACGCATGAAGCTTGAAACACAAACACAAAAACTGGTCATATATTGTAAGGGTGCTGGACTGTTTCCCCATCAGGTATGAGACCATCGGTAACACTAAAGTCATCACATAGCAGCACTGTGGGGGATATCTACAAACAGTGGTGACTTGAGAGCGTTGCGTTACCATCCACGGACAAGCATGTTACACGTATACTGTACCAGACATCTCCATGCTGACTTGTGCTATATCACGCTGTAACAGAATACAAATACCTGGTCGAACCTGCACCGTGCACCCGGGTCAGAGCGGCGACAGGAGGTTGACGCAACACACGCCTAATATGATCTCACTAGAATATTCAGTAGGATGACTAATAGCTCTGCTCTGGATGAGGCGGATGTGTCGTTATATAGTAACATCAATAAGATCTGTCTGCAGAAAACTACAGCAACAAAACAGAAAGCAACGTAATAAATGAAACTTGTATATCTAACTTTAGCTTACTGACTTAAAGTAATAACCAGTACAAGACTAGCTAATGAATACTTACGCACTTGTGACCTATCACGGGTTTGAGGGAGTACATCAGAGGAGAAGGGGGCTAGGCTCTAATGCTGCAACTTAAATTCACTCAACACTAGATTAAAAGCAGGGGAGGCAAAAACTGGAAAGAGTTTTGTACAGAAGTAACTTTCTGCTGTTCCCTTCACCACCCACTCCCACCTACCCTCTCTCGCTCTCTATGACCTATATTCATGCTTAAGCCTTGCAGATGCGGGTCTCAGTCACAAACTTGTTCTCAAAGTGATGGATGGTGAAACATTCGTCCGCAGAGCGCTTCTGGATGCCTCCACCTGACAAACAAAAAGACACATAAGCAGCAGTGCTAAGTATTCATCTCAATATTCAGCCGTGGGCGTGTTTGACACATTTCAAACACAACTACATTTAGGAAGATGTGTCAAGCATGGTTGGTGCCTGTTTACACTCGTCCTCTTATTCGGTTTCTAACCAAAGTGTGTTTGACACTGTATAATTTCTGCATCTACTTGATAAGTCAGCAGTTTCCGTTTGAGCCATAGTGATTAGTGACTCCAAAATCAATATTAATGTGTACCTAGTAAATAAAAAGTTATCAATGTCAGCAGCTAACTTCATCCTTGATAAGAACTATACAGGGATACATGTTTATATAACTCAACCATCAGAAATGTATGAAGGCCTAAAGTTGTAACTGCATTATGTGACAGCTTGCTTACTTTATGTTGTGGTCAGCGTATTTTGTTTGAAAGCTGTTTCTGTTAGCCAAAAGATAAAATCATAGTAAATTACACTAACACTCTGCTAAACAAGCTAGCTCATACAGTTTTATACATAACCAGTGTGAAATACAGTACAGTAATTTTTATGGTCTGGCTATTTTTTAGCTAGCGATAATGTTAGCTGATTACTTGACAACACTACTACATCAATATTACTGAAAAGCTTAACTCATGACTACAAATCTGTAGTCCTGAAACTAAAGAGCACAGTCATGTTGGTGGGGTCTGTCTTTTAAATACTAGCACTAATTTTCATCGTGTGGCTTACTATTAGCTACCGCTAATGTTAGTTTATGACTAAGCAGCACCACGGTATTACCAAAAAGCTTAACTCATGACTACAAACCTGTAGTCCTGAAACTAAGGAGCACAGTCATGTTGGGGGCATCCGTCTTTTAAATACAAGACCTAATTTTGACTGTGTGGCTATTTATTACCATTAGCTAGCGCTAATGTTAGCTGATTACTTGACAACACTACTACATCAATATTACCGAAAAGCTTAACTCATGACTACAAATCTGTAGTCCTGAAACTAAAGAGCACAGTCATGTTGGTGGGGTCTGTCTTTTAAATACTAGCACTAATTTTCATCGTGTGGCTTACTATTAGCTACCGCTAATGTTAGTTTATGACTAAGCAGCACCACGGTATTACCAAAAAGCTTAACTCATGACTACAAACCTGTAGTCCTGAAACTAAGGAGCACAGTCATGTTGGGGGCATCCGTCTTTTAAATACAAGACCTAATTTTGACTGTGTGGTTATTTATTACCATTAGCTAAAAAAACATGAAAGAGCTAATGTCAGCCAAGTAGCTTCCTTTCTAAAATACGAGACAAGCACAGGATAGAAAAGTTGCAAACTCAAACTGTTCAGTTTGCACTTGCTGAGTAAAGCAAAAAAAGCTTGCATAACAGCAGTGATGTCGTAATTAAAGATTAATCTTTATATTACTTAATTATATTATTTAAAGAGGATTATATATTACAGCTTAATACAGTTAAAGACATGCATGTTATATACACAAGTTCCTCTGGTCTGCACCCTTATTTCCGAGGGGTTGCCACAGAGCTGCACGTTAATCAGAGGTTTTACATTTCCATCACATCTATACCTGGCAGGCTGGCACGGCGCTGCATTCTGTACGTTTCTTTTCCATCACAAAGACGGCGGATATAAAAGCCCAGGGGTTTGACATCATCAATGCGCTCCGTCACCACCAGGTCCTCGTGCACCAGGTAGCTGCGGTAAGAGTCAGACTGGAACAAAGACCAGAGCATGAGACTGTCAGGGCACCTTTTTAAATTAAAAAAATACTTTTGATCTTCCACCAGATAGAACAGATCAGTGAAAACTGAATAAAATTTTTTTTAAAAAAGGTGATGAAACATCCCTAGATTTGTGAAACAACTCTACACCAAGTGTTGAAATTTCCTGATTTCCTCACTAAGCAAACTAAACTCCGCCAAGCTTTTTCCACCTTCACATGCTAAAACTACCCAACACTACATCAATGATTTTTACAAAGTCCCTATTTGAATATGGAGACTTTTTGAAAACAAGTATGCAGTATAAATGCAGCGTACTTCTAGTTTACTGCATGAATAAAGGAAGAAGGGGACAAGCCTGTGGGTGGCAGTTGCTCATTTATCATCTTTAGTTTCCTGTCAAGAACCTACGTTTCACTTAAGCTGATATTATTGCATAGTCTCTGCTAGTCTCTGCCAGTGAATAATAGAAAACTGAATTACAGGAACTTTACAGTTTAGCCAATATTTAAAACCTACATGCTGTAAGGACACCTGGCACATTCATACTTACTGGCAGGTGAAGATTTTTTTCATATGTACAAATTAAAGATATAACAGATTTGAGAAGGATTAAAGAGCAGACAGTCTGTGGAATGACAACACATCCCTGAATTTCTTATGGGTGCATGAGCTTTAGCAAGACTTATGTGTTCGGTTTGTCCGTCATCCAAGTCTGGACTTTCATCTGTGTCTTCAGGTGCTGCTAGGAGGGACCGTACTCACCATCAGCTGTGAGAACAGGTCAATGAGGTCCTGAGGGGGGAGAACTACTGAGGTGTTCAGGGGAATCACAAAGCAGGTCCTCAGAGTCAGGTCCAGATAGGCCGTCAGCTTCTGCTCACACACACATGAAATCATCGGGAAAGAATTTAGAGCAGCAGAAATCATCCACCGAGCTGCGCCAAGTGTGACAGAGTCCACAATCCTCACCCTGTTGAAGTCGTGCAGGATGTAAGCGGGGTCTCCGGGCCTGAAGCGGGGAGGAGGGACGCTGATGACAGCGATGTTGTCAGAGATCTCCACCTCCTCCTCCACTCGCGGCAAGTAGTAAGGCTGGCTCTCTGCTCCGGACGACACGTCTCTGAACTCCATCGCGCCATGATACATCCTCTGATGAAGAATGCATCTCATTTAGTCTTAAGAACATGTAAAGTGAGGTGGGGGCACTGGAACCTTTGCTTATGTACATTTTACAAAAAAAAACAACAAAAAAACAAAAAACAAAAAAACGCACCGTAATAGTTATTTTATTTTCAACCAGCGGTGCAGCTGGGATTTGCCTCTACAACCACAGACGCATCACCTGGTATTACTGTGAATCTGCAATATCAGCTGTGAACCTGTGTGTTCTGTTCCTGTCTAAAGTTCACGTTTCACACACTGCACCAACTACTGAAAAACAATCACGCAGCTGTCGAGGAAGCTCAGGCTGCCAGGGGGAGCCAAAGCACACATGTTCTGCTTGGTTCCAGCACAGTTACATCACGGCATATAGCAGGACTACGTTTACACAAACAAGCCTACAGTTTTTCCATGACTATTGATCATAGTTTCTTTTAATATCAGGTTTTAAGCTTATGTTTACACACTCACTCTCCACATGGCACTGATAATAAAGATTTCCAGTAACATTTTTGGCACATGTGAGGCATTTATTTTCCTGCAAATCAAATTGTGATAATTATGCTGATAATTATGGCAAACTGGCTCTGGCTGAGATGTCAGAAGCCCCGCCCACCCAGTGCTCTTACCTTTTGTTTGCAAAGAGCATCCAATCAAAAGAATCATACTTTCAAACAGAATGAAATGAACAGAGGGGGCAGCACCTATTATTGATATGGATTCTTTTTGCAAGGGTTTCTCCACTTTAGTCCAAGATTCACTTCAATGCTGTGCAAATCCACAAACTGGACCATTGAGTTTTGCTGCATTGTTATCTTTTTCTGTGTATCATGTGTCACTACAGTTTCAAAGCTTAGAAGTGAGGAAACAGCTGAGATCAAAAGCACGACAAAATTCAGAGCAACAGATTCTTGTGATGAAATCTCAATTTTATCAGAATTTCTCAAGCAACATACTGACAGTTACAGTTTCACACACTGCTCTCCCCCCCACCTCGCTTTGCTTCATTTGCATGGGTGTGGGGTTGCCTCATCTCATTGACTCTAAGACCCTCCTGCTGGCAACACAACAACTGGGGGGAAAAAGGTGAAGTCTGCACTTTCTCTAAACATGAAAAGGAGTGAACAATAGCACTCTGTTTTCTAACGGTACAAACCAGTGTTAATAATTCTTCATCACTTCTAGACAGTGACAGTTTATGAGAGGAAGAAAACATATCTGATCACGTCAGTGGATAACCAAATTAATTCATACAACTGCTTAATTTCCCAGAGGCAGTCTGCAAAGTCTGCAAAGTCTGCCCCACAGATGCCCCCCCTCCCCCACTGACCTGCATTTGCAACGTGAAAATGAAACAATTTGGAAAAGGTTATAACGTAAAATAGTCTTGGGTTGTAGTTTAACTTTCTACGCGTTTCAGTGACTTGCTTGCAGAGCTGGTGGCATGTGCCTCACGTGCATAAGGATGGACAGAAAATGAATCTACTATAAGGATCTGCAACATTAAAGTGTTATGCACAGTTATGAAACCACAATCATGGCCTAATGTATACACATTATATATATATATATATATATATATATATATATATATACACACACACACACACACACACACATATACAGGTACTTACTTTGAGAGGACTTTAGATTTTAAATGCTTTTTTTAAAATCAAATATTCTGATTTCATAAGACCCCCTCCCACTCTTTGCAACCCCTTTTTAAAAGATGGTAACATGTGTAAGAGAATATTCACGAAGAATGAGCTGCAGCGCACGCGCACACACCTTTGGGGTGAAATATCGGTAGAGACAGGCCCCCCCTACGATGAGCCCACTGAGGATGAAGGCGATGCCTAACAAGGTGAGCAGGCAGCGACCTGTGGAGCCCTCGGCGCCCACTGGAGCAGAGGCCACTTCAGGGTCCTACACACACACACACACACACGCGCACACATCATATTAGCATGACATTCACATTCAGTTTTGATTAAACAATCCCTTAATCCCACCCCATCTTTGTCCTCCGCACAAAAACAGCTGTGCAGGAGATAGGCGGTCCCATCGTGTCCTGCGCCAGGTGCAATTTGACTCCGTGCGCTATGCAAAAATCACCGCGTGTCAAATCACACTTAGCACAACAATGCGCGACAACCCTGTGAATGCTCACATGGATGAAGTCCACACGCTTTGCTGGCCGATCCGGCACAGCAGGCCTGCTACCAGGCTAAAGTCGGACACCGGGCTCAGGCGCAGCGCTGTGCCCCGTTAGCTCACCTTAACAGTGGCTGGCACCTCTTTGCCCAGCGCCTTCTGCGCCAGAGCCGAGTTAAAGGCGATCTTCACCATGCTGGAAGAACAGACGTCAGCTTGGGTTTTTCTTGTGCAAACAAAAATAACAGAGGAGGGGGACTTGCGGCGCTAGACTGCAGGTTCCGTTTATTCTCCGCAGCTCAGCTGTGTGACGCACTTTCCAGCCTCGGCTTTATCTAGCGTTTCCGGTGGCTGCAGGGGGGCGGAATCAAAAAAACAAACAAACAACAGGCTGGAGAATATGCTTCAGACTCAGAATACGCAGGTAGCCATGACCTGCTTTAGTTTAACTACAGGTAGCGGTTTAACATTTACCGCTTTCATAATTTATTTATTAGCAGTTTCTCTCCACAGCCTTTATTTGTTTCTTGGTGTGTTTGTGTAGTTTTGGTGCCATCCAGTGGCCGCAGGTGGAACCTAAACAATTCCCCATGCAAGATCTTCCATTCATTCATCAGATTGAACCTGACACCCAAAGACACAACTGTTTACACTTTCAGTCAGCTACATTGCCTACATTCACTTCTTGCATGACAAACGACTCGATCTCGCGACCGACTGCACTGTAATGCAATGAAAAATAATATCTGAGTGTATAATGCAGCTCATTCATCTCTGCGAATGTTCCACTCTGCAAACACATTCCCTCCTGCATGCTGGGCACTACCTGCCAGCGTGTCTGCCCACTCGCATTAGCACACACAGTACACAGCTTTTACTGCGCTGCGTGCAAAACACGGGCCGCTGCCAAGGCCGTACAGTATGTCTGACACATATCCTCAGTCCGGCGGTGGTCCCTCTGCTTCCTCTCTCTCAGTTAGGTTTGTACGTATGAGTAAATAAACACTTAACTGCTGTACTGCTGCTTTAACTCCACGCAACTCGGTGGCATCTCTCCAACCCTCTGCACTGCAACTGTATGCATCACACACACACACACACACTCTGCAAGGCTCTGATATTTGCTCTGTTAAACAGACAGATTGGACCGGTAATCACCACTGAAAGGTACATAAACAGAGCAGCTGATTTCTGTACCTTACTCCCCCTCCGCGCGCCCCCTCAACACTGGCTCTGCCTGAAAATCCTAAGTGGTCCTGAAGGCTTGTTTATGGGCTCGTCTTACGCTGTGTTTGATCTGAGAGCTTGCCCACACATGCGTAGCACGGACACGCCACACACACGCTGCAAAAGAGAGAGGGAGAGACAGCATTAGCAGTAATAGCTGAGATGATAAACAAAAGACTTATATGTAATCCTGAGGGCTTCTCGGCATCACACACAACACCAGGAGAGGGGAAAAAACAGAGGAGAGAGCAGGATTCTCATTCCAGGAGGGAAACAAGGGATGACTGGGGGTGAGGTGGGGTGGGAGAGGCATGGAAGCAGGTGGGGGGTGAAATAGAGTGATTCGGGTAGAACGTAAAGTGATGACTGGGGGGGAAAACACTGAGAAGGAGTTGCCGGGAGAGGCAGAGCAATCTACAGAGTCTGATGCTTGAGTGAGTTTTCCGAGGAGCTGATTAGCGGCGGATTAAGGTTGCAGTCCATCCAGTTTAGATCTCAAACTTTCTAACACGCCTCCTAGGTGGAACTGAACACAGCTGAACACAATCGGACAGCCGTGTTTTTGGTGCACAAGCACACATAGGTGGGAGAGTGTCATAATGGTGGATGGCAGGCATGTATGATGGGAGTCTGAGCGCCAGTGTTCCTCTGTGGTCTGCAGCAAGCGTCCAACAAAAGCAATAAGGCTACACTCGTGCACATGTGTACACAACACGCACACCCTGCGCCTGCAAAGTCAGCACAGTGTGGGAGTCTGCAGGGGCATAGCTGGTTTCACAAAGACATTCTCATGCATGACATCACCGGCTCTCGTGCCAGTAAATATGAACCCACATACAGACACACACCTCATAGATTTGTCATCGATTTCAATACCAGACATGTGAAACCACAAGTGACAAATGACTTTGTCCCTTTCGGTGTTCACACACCACACACACACACGGCGCAGACAGAAACACACAGCCCTAAAATACTGCTATGGTAACAGCTGGCCACAGGGTTTTGTTGAGCCCAAAACGTTAGACGCTGCTCGGTGCTTCATAACGTCACTGACATGTCTTCATGTGGATCCACCATAATCACCATGTGCCTCCAGTGAGAGAACATTTAGTGGTCAAAGAGAACGGGAGAGCAGAAGAAGATGGAGAAACAGAGCGGCGGATCTCTCGGGGAATGAGCAGCGATGCTGCTTCACAGCATCCAAAATTTTGAGTGATCCTTGCCCCACCACACACACACACACACTTCTCGCAACGCAATCACATGTGGATCTGAGACAAGGGTGACAAATGAGTCTTTCCTATGAGTATCAGCTTCTAAAGCTGCGTTTGCTCCCTCACAGCACTGCCTGTCTTGTGCTCTTCATCCTCTCAGCTTGGCTCACCTCTGGGAAATGTAATAATTTCATGCTGAAGGAGTTCTTTTGGGGTGGTTGGGGGATAATAGGGTAGGATTGGGTTGCACTGGCTATTCTTAAGTTTTATATGTGACTCCCTTATGAAGTTCCTAAGCACTTTTAACTAGTTTTTTAAAAATATATACATTCACTCTAAACCATAGACAGTATGTAAATAACTCTTTATATATAGTCTGGCTACAGAGAGGTAGAAAATATTTGTAGCAACTTCCATGCTAAAAATAAACCTGTAAAGAGGAAGTAATGCTACAAGCTACAGACATTTTAGAGCTAAATAAAGTGTGTGAACACACAGTCATGTCTGTTCATAGGACTCTCTGCATGCCTGTAACTACGTACACACTTACTGCTTCCATAGCAACAGAGAAAGTACCTGCTAATCAAATGCACTGACCATCAGCAAGAGTGAGCCCCTCTATAAAAGCAATTGCTTGGTCAGACCATGCAGTGTGCAGAGAAACTGCAAAAAAAAACATAAAAAAAAAACCAGCAAACAACAAAAAAAACAACAAAAAAACTCCACAGGCGTCAGTTAGCATGTTAAATGTTAAAGTTCATGGCAGTACAATTAGAAAAAGACAATTACTGAAAAACAGTTACTTCAAGTTACTGTTGCTAAAGGTGGTTTTGAAAACTACTGGATCATGGGTTTTCTGACTTTTCACAAAAGGTATAACTTTGCTATATTTATGTGGATACACAAGGAAATATTGTGCGATTTATTTTTCACAATTTTTTGTAGCTAAATTCCTAATATGCTAATTTAACTAAAATCATGTAAAATTAGCTAAACTTTTTGCAGTTTAAGGTAGGTCTTGTATATTGTTTTTGAAGGATTATCGTGAAATACGTATGCTATTATACAGTTAATGTTGCTAAATTAATTTTATCAACTGCTAAGCATTAGTGCTTCCCTCTTTACTTTCTTAAAGACTTAAATGCCAGATTAGCAAGCTAATGCTAATTTTAATCATTTAGCGGTTAGCCTTTTAGCAGTTACTAGGAGCAAATTAAAAACAATAAATGTTATTGTTTATCAAATTCAATACATTTATGCCATTCAGCCAATTTTAATTCACTGATACATACATTTCAACTAAGTAAACCCAAAGTTTTAGCTAAGTTTGAATGTTCAAAAGGCTGCCTAGATTTAAGATGAATGGCTGTTTTCTTAACTTATGACCTCATGTTGCTGCCTGTCTGTCCATCTTTTGTCTGCTTAAAGCAACAAAGAAAGAGAACAAGAGGACCCTGGAGCGAGAGGATTTTTAAATCTTGGGAAAGGGCAAAAGTAAAAGGTGAATCACACATGTACTGCGCTCAACTCAAGGTAGACAACTGGCGCAGGTGGAAAGAGAACAAAGACGGAGGAGCAGAGGAGAACAGAGGGATGGAAACGGATGTATGTCTGTTATGTTCTTGAGGGTTAAACTCTGGGGAAATTACCTCATCGCAAGACCTCTCCAGAGTGCTGCAGCCATGTTGATTTTTCACTGGTAACGCATACACTCACACATACACACACCCTCCGCTGAACTGTGGCCAATAGCATCATAGCCTGTGCGAATCACTTCCAGATTCAGTAACGTCACCTCTGTCAGGTTCACGGCAGGAGCGCACACACACACACACACACAGAGCCTTTCCAACAGAGGGCAGGTTCACCGGAGGACACCACAAGGACGCGAACAAACACACACACACACACACACACACACACACACACACACACACACACACAGAGCCTTTCCAACAGAGGGCAGCAGCTTGATCTCTATTTTGATTCACTTATGACACAGAGGTCAAATCAAGGCTTTTTAATTCCACCTCTTTTAACTGAACTCAGAGAGGAACTATCCTCACATCATTGTGTGGGAACAGCTGAGGACTGACAGACTTAAACTCTCATGGCTGAGAGCCATGAGGCCAGAGTCCCTCGCTGGACTCTAACATGCCCCTAATATGGTTTTAGTAGCCTGCAGAGGTTAGGGAAGAGGCCATTGGGAGGCCATTGGTTTATAACCTAGGATGACAGGGAAAATGAGAGGGGAGGAGTGACACTGCTTTCCTTTTGCAACCGCTGTTGACGTGCCAGTGACCGCTGACCGTTTCAACAGAATACTTTGTGGTCAAAAGCAGACCGGGGCCTTACTGCGAAGCCATTAGGTGTCAGTGTGCTCAGTACCAACGAGTCCAGCAGAAATATAAAGCCTTAAAAATCCGATTTACAGACCACTTATAAAGTCATTAGTTAAAGACCAGCCTATATTAAGGACGATATATTAAAAATCTATATTCACTCGCAGTGCTGCCTAACTTACATTTTTTTCTAACAAACTTTGTAGTCTCTTGATCACATCTACAGTTGTCATTATAATTATTTTAACTGAAGAGATCACTGATTAAACATGTATGTCATTTTATAGATCAGTAAATGATAAATGCAATGATACAGAACAACATTTTAGGAATGATAAGTGTGCAGACAGAGTGTGCTAGATGGAGGAGCTGTGATATAAAAGTTACAACTGTAAACATGCTGCAAAGAAGACAAATATGATGTCTAGTGAGGATGAAAGTGATAGCCTGTGTGTTTGTGTGTGTGTGTGTGTGTGTGTGTGTGTGTGTGAGTGCGTGTGTGTGTGTGTGTGTGTGTGTGTGTTAGGTAGGGGCCCACACAAAGCCCTCAATCAGACAACTTTCAAATTAGCGCTCCATAACTACATCCTGCACTTGGAGCTTTTAGGACTTACTGAAATGTATAGTTCCTCTCCCACAAAACACACCACTCACACACACACACACACACACATACACACACACACACACACACACACACACACACACACACACACACACACTTTATGAGTCATTAATCTATCAGGTGGTCATTAAGAGGGGGAGGATGGGCTGATTGGAACCAGAGGGAGACAGAGTGATGTCAGACAAACACAAAGCTCTCAAGTGTCTCCACGTCCCCCCTTTTATCCCAATCATCACACACACACACACACACACACACACACACACACACACACACACACACACACACACACACACACACACACTCTCAGACTTGTATATGTGACTGACATGTAGACAGATAAAAGTGCCTACAAGGAAAACGTTTATTCGCGCCGCTTTGTTCCTCTCCCACATCTGAAGCAGAGCAAAGATCTTCCATAAAGCTGGATCAGTGGAGAGCCCGACGAGAAGATTGAAAAGCTCTGACTGCAACAATAATGGGAAATAAGCGTGCGTGAAGACAAATGTGTATCCATAATGAATGAGCTCGTGCTAAGAAGGGCAGAGGGATTGTCTACCCCCCCCTGCCCCACCCTCTTCCTTGATTCCCATGACATATACGGTAACACTTTCAGCATATATGGCTATCTTTGGAGGGCGAGCTATTGTTTAGCAGTGGCAGTAATCTCTTAAAGCAGTGCTGCTTTTCCAGGCTGAGAATGGATCTCTTTATTAACACTGACGGAGGCTCATTATCTATAAATACAGGCGGGAGCCACTAATAAATCATTTCTCATGGCCCTGATAGAGCACTAACCACAAGGCATTAAGGCATCGTGAAAGAAAACCGCACATTGGCAGGCAAAATCCCACTTGTGTGTGTGTGTGTACAAGAGTCACACCAGGCTTTGGCAGCTGGGATGATGGGGCAAGAGCTGGGCTTTTGATTGAAATAGCATGTTGTCTTTTGAGCTCCCATTTCGGCAGCGTTTAAATTATAGTGTCTCTGCGGGGCTGCAGAACGTCTCTAAGGGTGGGAATAAAGTCAGGAAAGAGAAGTTTTTTTTCAGTATATGTGAGGACACTCTGGATATGAGTGAAGGGAAGTTGAACAACTCTTAATTTTCCCCAAATGCTGGTCCAGGCGCTGCAGTAGCAAGATTAATTAGTTTCTCCAGCTTCACACTGGTGTCAAAACCTCGCGTGTGAATTTTCCTGTCACCGGGTGTCGTGTCGTTTGCGGTGATGGCTTTCAGTAAAATTACAAGGGGCGTAGGTTAGGTTCCAGCTGCTACACATAAATTATTTCAGTTTATGTGTAAAGTCACCACTAATTACTTAGTAACTGTTTCTTGCAAGTTTCAAATGTGGAACCTGATAAATTGCGTGCTATAGTTGAGATTTTCTTTACATTTACTTGCATTCCTTACAAGTGGTTGAAAACATCAGTGCACGTGTGAACAAGAAAGTGTTTGATAACAAGTTTGAAATATCAGCTTAAGGGGGGATGCTGTATGTCAGCGCTGTTCCCACAACATCCTCCTGCTGCCTTTAAATGGCTAAAGCGTTATGTGAAAAATGAGAAACTGCTCACTCACGGGCTAATGATTTATGGAAATGCTGTACAAGCTGACCAGGGTTAGGTCAGATTACTGATAAAATGCAGCTAAATACTCCTTGAGAGTGTAACTGTAATATAATTGCACATCTTTGAAGTTGATTATGGTTACGCATGTTTCTGATTACATGACACAGTTTCTGATTACATGCAACGATGTTAATTGGATTTTTGTCCCGTTGTGAACCTTCAAGCTCATCGTCACCGTGTTGGTGTTTAGAAACTGAATGTGCGAGAAGTCACTGGCCAATGAGCATACCACGGATATTCCTCCTTTCTTAATTTAATAATGACCATAATATATAAAAATAGATGTGATGTTCTATTTACTATGACCTGAAAACTGATCCAGGGGAGTAATCAGGAAAGGGAAAGGGTACGGTGGCCCTGGAAGGCCAAATGGACTGCAACTTAAGAAAACAACAGCAACAAGAAAAACGCTGCAAAAGCATACAAAACACAACGGAAATAGGAAAAAGAAAACAGAAATAGGAAAAAACTGATTTTCAAAAGCACAAGGGAAGTGTTCCTGGGAAGACAATAACCCGACGGACCAGTTACAGGAACCAAAATATGCTAAGAATTGCTCTTGGAGACACTTACAAGAAGTGGAGGGTCTATTGGTTTTATGAGGAAAGAAAAGATGAGAGGTAAGTGTGTTAGCCTAACTATTAGCCTAAAAATCCATCATCAGTATTATATGAATCATGAGACTAAAACACACTTACCTAGCATGTTTGGTTCCTGATGTGTTTCTGGGGTTATTGTCTCCCCAGAAACTCTTCCCTTGTGCTTTTTGGAAATCTGTTTTTTCCTATTTCCGTTGTGTTTTGTGTGATTTGGCAGCATTTTTCTTATTGCTGGTGTTTTCTTAAATTGCAGTCCGTTTGGCCTCTCAGGGCCACCATAGGGGAAAGGTCACAGAGCAGGGGAGCCAAGCGTTGTCTCCCATTAATTTCTATATCTGGGAAACTTTATGCAACCAGAGGAGTCGCCCCCATCTGGCCATTAAAAAGAATGCAGAAACTACATCTGTCTTTTATGTGTGTGGTGTTTTCATGCTCAAACAAATGCCCTCCAAGGCAGAATCACACCATCTCTAGCACTGTAGCACAGTCGACCACGTGAATGTGAAATTGTATTTTAGCATCACAATGAGTCTTTTAAATTCAAACCACAGTTTTACAAAACAGCTTTCACATCAAACATAACTGCAGATGCTTGGTGAACATATTAATTATTATTCATCTCATACAGTGTGTGTGTTTTGTCCCGGCTCCCTAACAACATCGCAAATGTTCTATCTATCTATCTATCTATCTATCTATCTATCTATCTATCTATCTATCTATCTATCCATCCATCCATCCATCCATCCATCCATTCGCTTCCGCTTATCCTTTTCAGGGTCGCGGGGGGCGCTGGAGCCTATCCCAGCTGTCATAGGGCGAGAGGCGGGGTACACCCTGGACAGGTCGCCAGTCTGTCGCAGGGCCAACACACAGGGACAGACAACCATTCGTGCTCACATTCACACCTAATGGCAATTTGGATTAACCAATTAACCTATCCCCACAAGCTGCATGTCTTTGGACGGTGGGAGGAAGCCGGAGTACCCGGAGGAACCCACGCAAACACGGGGAGAACATGCAAACTCCACACAGAAAGACCCTGGCCTGATGTTGGAATTGAACTCAGGACCTTCTTGCTGTGCGGCTCTATCTATCTATCTATCTATCTATCTATCTATCTATCTATCTACCTATCTATCTATCTCGTAACTCCTGCACTCCCAGCATGATTTAGAATTAATAACTTTATGTTAAAGCTATGTGTGGTGCAACCCATATTAAATGGTTTAAATGTTAATGATGCATCTAAATCCAGTAACTATCTTCCATTTTACAAGGGGGATAGTCATCTAGAGAAGGTTGTAGAGTTTCCCTGCTAGTAAAAACACATCCATTGCAGCACAGTATTTTTCCAAAGGGAATTACAGTGTTTATCTTAAAACAAATTTCCTAAACTATTCATGTACAGCATATAACCCACTGTTCTTTAGCTTAAACAGGCATTTTCAGCTTTGTGACTTTTGGCTTAAAAACTGAGAATTCTGCTAGATTAATATTTCCTATATTCTTCTCCTCTCTGCCATCTCTCCCAGCTTGTGTCTAACTCGAGGCCAAACCAGCCAAACTCTGACAGTTTGACCTTCCTCAGAGGTCACTCCTATTCTTACAGCAGCCAGCCCAGCACGGCCTCCTGCTTCAACACAGGCCAGCCCTGTATAACTGATCATACCGCTATCCAGACTCATTCTGCAGAGATGTGGGAATGAAAGGTCCGATTAGGGCCTGCTGGAAGTATTCAGCACACAGTCGCTACCCTGCCCGGCCCATCACTCCAGTCGGCGGCCCCCTTCTAACCAGCCCCTGCTCCCCTCCGTCCTGCGCTCCTCAGAGCTGTGATTGGCATGTGAATTACAGTGTGTGGTGATGATAATAAGAGTGCTAACCGGGGCCAGGCCTGCGCCTTCGAGCCAGCAGCCAATCCCAGCTGGCACAGCCTGAAAGACAACCGCTGCCACCATCTGAAGAGGCAAATAAAAATGACAAGCTAACTGTTAAAGAACTGCTGATTTTTCACATGTTTTAAAAGCTTTTGTAGCTCTGCCAGATCTTTCTTTCTTTTTCTTTCCACCCAACTTCTTCTTCTCCTAAATTTTCACCCTTCTCCCTGGCCGCCTGCGACCACATCCAGATACACGAAACCCCTCATTTATCAGGGAAATCTAAAAATAATCCCTCCTCTGCTGCGGTGTGGCTTTGATAAAAAAAAAAATATTGGTGTTCAGAACGATTGTGCGCTGTGGGACAGAAACAGATAAAGACATGCGTGACGGTTCCTCAACAGCTTTCCACCGCATGCATGTGAAACGACGGATTTCCCCCCCTCAAATAATTACTACTTCCCCCTCTCACCATACGTGTTAACAACAGCGAAAGGAGCACTCAACACATTTCAAACTCCTGCTCAAGTCAGCGAGCCATCCAGAAAGTGTATTTACGTTGGAGCGTCGTTCACTTTTATGCATCGCTCTATCCAAACATTCCCAAAATCGTGTGGTAGTTACACATTACAGTATTAGAAAATTACACCCTAACACCCGGCAGATTAGTTTTTCACCCCTTGACATCCTTCTGGGAAGTAGAGCTCTCATTCCCAGGGATCTATTCCTAAATCCCAACTTTCCCAGTGCCCCGTTCAATCAGCGTCCTGCTTGGCAGAGTTGCCACGTCTGGGCTGTCTGCGAGGGAGAAAAGATGCTCGGCTCAGACCCTCACATGCAGAGTCTGACTCTCATTATCAATTACGGCTGTTTTTGTTTCTTTTTACCACAGCCATTAACCACACTGTTACTGGCAGCCAGGGGGAGTTAGTGAGAGAGAGAGGCAGGCAGAGAGAGAGGGAGAGAGAGAAAGCAATTTTCATCAAAAAGAATTAGCTATCCAAACAAGTGAGACGAATGTGCCGTAGAGTCAGTTTCACAGTTGGCCTCATGAAAGCATTGTGGACAGATGAAGATCTATATGTTTTTAATGGGAAGAGGGTGAGTAGTAAGGGATAAGTAAAAGCTTAGGGAGAGAAAAGAGGGAGGGAGAGGGAGGACATAATTCACAACACACTTGTGGTGAGAGGAGGAGGAGGCCTGCATCTTGGCAGAGGCGCTCCTCTCCTCTCCTGCTTTCCTCTTGCCCTCGCTCCTTTGTTACCGGGCTGAGACAGAAGGAGCCAGTGAAGGCTGGATGCCGTGACACATGAGCCATTAAATCTTCCTGCACTGCGGGCAAAGGGGGAGGCAGGAGCAGCAGTACCAGGCCCTGTGCCCAGGATCCCCACATGCTGCCAGGCTAGAGACCCAGAGAGCAGACAGCAAGAGGGGATCCACAGAGGGAGACAGAGTTTCACCACTTCTGTAACCATTGTAATAACTCATAACAACCCCCCCAAGACTAAATGATCTGTAGTTGATTTAGAAATGTGCTGCTGAGGAGCAGAGACAGGCTGAGCTTTCTATCTAAACTAATCTCATACTAATGTTTCTGTCATATGCATTTTGGTACAAATTTAACACCAACCGGATACCTTTTTCTTTTTTTTAAACAACACAATGTTTATAATACAGTATTCCCAATTTCCACTACGGGAACTGTTATGACTAACATTATTAATGGGTGTGTTTAGCCGCTCACGGCACATAGTTGACATTGTGGTCTTGATTAAATATTGGAAAAGTCAACATAGCTTGAGCACAAGACAGAGCGCCATTACTACAAGTTAACTTCATATCAACATAACTTCCAGGAGACGGTTTGTTTATTGTTCATTCCCTTAAATGTGTCAAGCTGAAAAGCCTCAGATCCTCCGCTTCTCATAATGCAACCAGGTCCTTTTCAGGCGTCTCTCTTGGCTCAGAAACGGCCTTTCTTGGGTGATTTCATATGTGAGTGTACGGTAATTTCTCCATGTCAAGTAAAGGCTAATGAGTCTGTGCTGTTTGTTTGTGGGTCGTTCTGCAGAGCAGCTTCAGTTTTGTATTTAATAACTGAAGCTGCTCTGTTGAGTTGAGATCAGATGACTGGCCATTGGCCATCAAAGATGATCCATTTCTTGGAAACTCTTGTGGTTCTTTTGCAGTGTGTTTTGGGCCATTATCCATTTGCACTGCTAAAGGCTGTCTAATCTGTTTTACACCATCTGAGCAAAGAGTACAGGCGTGTACACTTTATAGTTCATATGCTTCTATCAGCAATCACATCATCAATAAACACTAGTGCAGGAGTGGGCAACTCCAGGCCTCGAGGGCCGTATCCTGCAGGTTTGAGATCTCACCCTGGGTCAACACACCTGAATCACATGATTAGTTCATTACCAGGCCTCTAGAGAACGACACGACTTATTGAGGAGGTAATTTAGCCATTTAAATCAGCTGTGATGGATCAAGGACACATCTAAAACCTGCAGGACACCGGCCGACACAGGCCTGGAGTTGCCCCCCCCCTGCACTAGAGTCCCACTTCTACTGCAAGCCACACATGCCCATGCAATAACACTACCTGCACCATGTTAGGCAGGTAATGTGGTATGTTTCAGTTACTTTTCTCTTCCCAAAAAGTTCATTTTGGGTTCATCTTAGAACTGTTCAGGCTCTTTAAGATATTTTCTGACAAAGTCTCATGTGGCCTTCCTGTTCTTACAGTTTTTCCTCAGTTGCTTTGGTGCATTTCTCACAACAGAATTGATCTCTGCACCACTACTAAGGCTCTTCTCAAAACAATTAGTGCAAACTGCAAAACATGGTGGATAACTTGCAAAAGTGAGTCACTTCATCAAAAAGAAAAGTCAGTTGCTCAAAATAAGTAGTCAATGCTTCAAAAGCAAGTCCCTTAATCAAAACAGATTTTCATCAAAAGCAAGTACTTATATCAAAGTGTCAGGGCTGTCACAATTACAAGTCATTACACCAGCACCTTTGGTCACAAAATCAAATGGTTTGAACATGTTCTCATTGTGACGGATAGGTGCTTCCCAATGACATGTCAAGTCTGGACAGCATGCATGGCATGTTGAAAACCATAAATTGTAAAGGAAAATCAAGACACTTCATATGCACTCTTGATAATATTCAATTGAAACTGTTCACAGCATTTTGCAACTGGGGAAATACAGTAAATCAAACATGCAGTAGTTATGAAACAAAAAAACCCCCAACAAAAACTGAAAAACAGACACTGCTGCATATCAATCATTGATATCTAGACACTCCCGTCTGTCTGCCCACATATTTGCATCAACATCACAGCGAATGTCAGCTCTATCAAAAGTATCTTCTGGAGTGTCGAATCCACCCTCTGCAGGACTCTGCTGTGATGTCATCACAAGCTGCATCCATAGCTGCTAGCAGGGTCATTTGGGTATGTGGATGCCTGTCATATACCTTCCACCTCCAGGAAGAGAAAAACTCCTCAATTGGATTTAGGAATGGAGTGTAAGGAGGAAGAAACTCCATAAGCATCCTGTCGTGCTGCAAACTACTGCCTGACTACAGCAGAGTGATGGAAGCTAGCATTATCCCAAACCACTACATACATTGTCCGATTGTCACCAGGATCATCCCTTTCATTTTGTGGGATTAGGTCCCTATAAAGAGCGTCCAGAAAAGCCAACAGGTGTTGTGTATTGTATGCACCAATACGAGGAATATGGGTGTGAACGCCATTTTCTGAGATTGCTGCACACATTGTAATATTTCTTCCTCGTTGGCCTGGGACATCAATGGTGGCTCTTTCTCCAATGTGATTTCGTCCACGCCGTCTGCCTTTTGCGAGATTGAATCCCGCTTCGTCAAGATATACAAACGTGTGCAGGTGTTCCCTGGCTTCCAATTCCAGAATACGCTATACAAAGGATGAGAATGAAAAAGTCTGTAATGGTGCATTTGGCACAACAGATTGTACAGTTTGAATTGTAAATAGGATTACAGTAACATGCATAAATGTAAGTGCAGTACATGGCCTAAACTTTTACAGTAAACAGAGGTACATATGCAAACATGTTTTACCTGTACATACTGGTGACGGCGCTCCTTCACTCGATCACTGTTCCGTTCAAATGGTACTTTGTACAGTTGCTTCATGGACATTTCATTCCGTCTGAGGACTCTGTCTATGGTGGAAATTGATATTGACTGAATATTTCCGAAGATGGTGTCATCTTCTACGACAGTTCTTTGTATTTCTCTCAGTCTCAAAGCGTTGTTTGCAGCCACCATTGCACAAATTCTTTCCTCTTGCTGCGGAGTCAAAAGTGGACCTCTTCCACCTCTTCCAGGTTGTCTGGCAGTCCTTTTTGAGATGCAGATGAAAAAAAACAAACATGCTTACAGTAATTGTTACAGGACTATCATTCAAAACTCCTTTCTTTACAGCATTACTATATTGTACCACAGCACACTATGCCACACCTGGGCCAAGTCTGCGCTTCAGTTACACTACGTCTATATGTAAAGATAAGGTCATGTCCTAATGCAAGTCTCCTGTATGACTATGAAAGTGCAGAGCAAATTAGTTTGTGCTGAATAACTACATTACAGTATGCTCACCTGTTTTCCCGACGAAATGTCTGAATAATAGAACTTACAGTAGTTCTCCCAACATTTGGTTGCACCCTTCGACCAGCCTCGGCCATTGTGAGGCCATGGTTTATCACATGATCCACAAGTGTTGCCCTGATTTCGTCAGGAACGTGTCTATGTGGTTGGCCTCTTCTTACCCGGTTTTGTCCTCGTCCTCCACCGATCCTCACCCCTCTTCCACAAGGCTGACGTTCCATGTTCTGCAGTTTTGTAGATTCAGTATGCACCTCATACCTGTCTGTTGGTTTACACATTATATATATACTTGTAGAGTAGGGGATACTGTAACGCGATTCACCTGTGACTGGGTAGAAGAGGCTTTTCATTGGTTGCAAGTAAGAGTAACACACACCAATTTTCATTAGTGTGAGATAAGGTTCACCTGAGAAAAGTAATTTATGGAGATTTTCATGGAAACTCCTTAAAAATAGGGTTTTCAAAATGGGTGTACAAATTGTTTGACAAGATGTTCAACAATTTTGAGTGCACTGACACAAGCAATGAAATGAAGACTATTAGTTGTAAGGACAATGACTATTCAGCCGGTACAAGTATAAATAATTGTGACATTCATGATAAAAGCAAGGAGATAGTGATGAATAGCAAGTCAAAAGTGACCATTCTTTAGATATTTGTACTTACTCAACTGCTTCATGTCCAAAGGCATTTGGACCTGTTCATTACCTGCACCATGTTAGGCAGGTAATGTGGTATCTTTCAGTTACTTTTCTCTTCCCAAAAAGTTCATTTTGGTTTCATCTATCTTAGAACTGTTCAGGCTCTTTAAGATATTTTCTGACAAAGTCTCATGTGGCCTTCCTGTTCTTAAGTGTAACCCATATACTCAAGAATCCTCTGAATGTGTTGTAAACCCTCTGGATTCCTACTTATTAACGCATCTGTTGATTGCGGACAGTGATACTCCAACCTCCTCAAACGTGTTTTTGACTTGGCTAGATGTTGTGAAGAAATGAAGGAAAGAATTCTGCAATCATCCACTTTAGGTTTCCTCTGTAGTCTTTCTGACTACACTATACTATTATTCATTTGGACACTCCTTATGTTTTGCTATCTCTCTTTAATAGTTGATTTTTCTTCCTAAGAATAACCTCCCTCACTGGCACTGACATGTTTTCAGAACTCATGGTTCCAGTGAAGAGAGACCAAATGAGAGAGTTCAACGGTCAACTCCAGATCTTCTGCCTGCTTAATTTGTTACAAAATAACATGAAAAGAGGCCTCATCTGTGAAACTGCTTTAACTGTAGGATTACTGCCGAGCCTCTGAAAACTGGGGACTGTGTATAAAAATGTCTGAAATTCCTGAGCAGTTAATGAATACTTTTGTTAAGCTGCCTGAAGTAAAGGCGAAGGCCTGCATTTCAGTCCCATCTTGATTGTTTGGTTTAAAATTCAGCTACAAAATAATTCAGAAAAAAAAAAGGTCTTTGGGGACCTAACTGTAAATCCAGAAATTAATTTACATGCGGTGATGATGTGCAGAGAGTGTGTGAAACTCCCACATGCCGGATTTATGTGTTGAGTATATGATGGTCATTAAATTCACAGTTGTGAACATAAACAGCAAATAGCTCTACAATCCATTTGCTGATAAACTTAAGGGTCTCTTACATTTTTTTACCATTTCATCATCAGATTTTGGAAGATAGCGTTTGGATGACGTTCAACAGCAAATCAAGAACCACGATGTGCTGGCACACAGAGTTAATTAATTACAAGTAGAAGAGGATGTGATCAGTCCCAGTGACTGTGAATGAAGGCTTCATTCCTGCAGGGACACGAAAGTCTGAGAGACACTGCTGTACCTCCAAGAAGAGGGACAAGGCAGAGGTTATGAGTAGCAGATGTGACATTACACAGATGCACATCCCTGGACATGATGACATGAGGATGAATAGCTTCTGTTTGGGCTTCCTTATGCGTCCTTTTCCACGTCTACTTCGAATGGAAAACAGGAGCAGACGATGACGATAACAGCAAACAACACAAAAATGAGCACATCATTGTCATAGCAGTCATAGTACTCCAGGTGAGCCGTCATCCATGTACCAGCACAGAGCAGAGAGGTCACATCCCATTAGAGCCACCGTCCTACATTTAATCACTCTGCAAACGTCACAGGAGACAGGCAGTGGAAGTTTGACGTTTGGCAAGAGAGCTGGCATCCTGTGCCCAGAATAAGCCTCACACACACACACACACACACACACACACACACACACACACACACACACACACATGACCCAACTTAAAACAAACCATAAGGGAGCCCCGTCACATCCATTCAGCAGTGAGCCACAGACAGCCAGGCCTGTTTATAAACACACACGTTGCGAGCTGTGAGCCTGTGCGCACATACAGCACATGGGTGTGTGGCTGGTGGTGATTATTCTTTGGGCTCTGGCCTTCAGCTCCAAATAGGCACAAACTTCGAAAAAACAAATAGCTGTGAATAAACAACGTGAAAACTGAAGTGCAGATAATAGAAAAACACTTCTTATGGACAAATAAAGGTCCTTTAGTTTAAGGCCAATTATTTGCTATTAATTAAGGCCCTGTATACAAATCAACAGCATGGCAGCGAGAAGCCGGAAGGCGAAAAAAAATGAATGGGAAACCTAATTGCAGCTGGTCATCGAACTTCCGCTTTAATGGAAACCCGAGGCCTCCCTCTTAATTGGATTTGAATCCCTTGTTTCCGCCAAGCGCGTGCACGCATATTGTGTTTAATAAGAGGAAACATGTGTGCCAGCCATCCCTGAACGGCCGCAGGTTTGCGCCAAATCAGAAAGCAACAAGAAGGTGCCGGGCCGTTTAGCAGAAAGCCAGGCGAGGCGATCGCTCGTCATCACTCTCCTGACATCCCATAATCCCATGAGAAAGATTTATGAGCTGACTGGCGAAGACAGCACGGAAAGCAATCTCTCAAACATGCGAGGAAAGAGACTGTGCAGGCTATTTCTATCAGTTTTGAGCGTCTTTTTCCAATAAAAGCCAGCAGGAACAGCAGCAGCAGGCCGCAGCCAGATCCGATCTGCTACACCCTCCTCCTCCCCCCAGCCTGAAACCACGGCGGGTGTTTGAGATGCTTTGCAAGAAAACGACAAGTTAGGAAAGAATAAACACGAAGGCCGGGGTCCGACAGCAGGTTATATGATGACAGGGAACATGTGATTCCGGTTGGTCATAGTTCTCCATTTCCCGGCTGTTGTCAGAGATTTCCATCAGCAACCAAACCAACCGTGCTGTAAACACAGCCCTCATTTGTTTTCTCCTCAGAGCAATTACACCATGTGATTAAAAAACATTTTAAATAGAGCCTTTGCTGACTTTTATTTGTGTAAAGCGGATCTATTTCATGTCGAGCAGTAATGTAATAATCCCGAGCTGTCATTACAGACCCTTTTTCTTCCCCCTGTGCGCCAAACTCCATCTGATCCACGCATTTATGAGAACCAGACTATTGCGCACAACCTCACCGGGTACCACGAATAAGAACCCCACTTCTGTACCAAGGAAACGGGAGACGTGAGCGCGCTTTACGGAAAGCCTTCAAATTAATATAGGAAATGTTAGCTTCAGCAGACATGCAGAGAGTTTCACGGTGATATTTTACCTTCCAGATGGTCCGAGTTAACAGATCTAAATATTTGTGCCTTTCGCCTCCTTACAATATTTGACAGAATAAGTGTATTAACCTATGGGTCGTCTAAATAGGAGAGCATCTCAGAATGCAAATGAACGGCTTATTTGTTTAAAAAAAAAAGTCCTTTACATTACAACATTTACATTTGACGAAGATACAGGATAAATTCAAGCCATCAAATTTATTTTTGTCTTAAACGTTTAATTTTATTATTTAATATGAGTCGAAGATTACTGCCCAAATTTATGAACTGACCTAAGAATTTTGAATTTCTGAGGACAGTGAGGCGCGCAAACATGCTCCTACAGGCTGTTCCGAGACCAAAGTAACACACAGCAAAAAATATCCAACATCTATCGAGTCCTTTTACTTTTCTCTCAACGTTAAGAAACAAAAAGATATTTCAGATAAGCTTCATTCAGGTGCGTACTGAGCCAAATGGCTGCTTGTTTTGGTTCCAAAGTTCCAACGTCGAGCGTAAAAATACTGATTATGAAATGAATGTCATTATTTCACTCTTTATTATTTCACTTTATTCTCATTCGTTTCAGTTAATATGAATTTCAGGTTACATTAGAGTTTAGGTGGATGTCTACTACGGCGCGGGGCCGCACGTGAAGGAATGCGCGCTCTCCCCTCCTTCTCTATGACGCGCAGAGCGGAACCGGAGGAACGAGCTCTCTGTGAGAGAGGGAAGGCGAGAAGTTGATCCGGTTAAAGGGGGGAAATGTTGTAGTGAGGAGAAGAGGCGTGCCAATAATCAGGGAGGTGTTTTTGATGCGGGCGCGCGTCTCGGAGAACACATGGGAACGCAGCGGTTTAATTACGCAGCGTCACGCGGAGCTCCCTGAGGTGCTGCGGCTGCTGGTGTTTGCTCTGCCTGTCCTCTTCTGAGCGAGCTAGGAGGCTGAACTTTGTGCGGGACGAAGTTAAAGTTCGGGGGAATACAGGAGCCGTACAGACGGTGTTTCCCACCAGGATGCAGGGACTGAGCTCCCGGGCTCACGCCTTTTCGGTGGAGGCGCTGGTCGGGAAGCCCTGCAAGAGGATTAAAGTGTCGGAGGAGCACGAGCCGAGCAGCGCTGACACCAGCGGCGATAGGAGCATCTTTCCCGGTGAGGACACTTTTGCACCCTGCTGCTTTTTATTTGAAGGACTTTTACGCACAATTGGGGGGGGAAAAACAGAAAACGCACAACTTTCTAGTTGCAAGGTTCAGTTGATTTTTCATCTTTAGGCCACATTTAAAGTTCTCAAAAATTAAAATTCTCATGATTTAGAATATATTCAATCAGTTAAAACTCAAGAGTTATCACGTGAACTTGCTTTTGAGGAATAGGGCTAAAATTAGCTCGCTCTAGGAACTTTAACATTCATGAAGTAAAATAAGATTTATAATATTACCAATTTTTAAAATTTCCCCAAATTAAAAGAGCTTCCAAAGTTCTGGCTTTCCATTAAATATTTTAAAAAAAATAGACACATTTCTGTGTTTTTTCTCATTTCTCTTTTTTCACTCCTTTTCCCACTTTTCAGACCAGAATAAATATCCCATCAACCAGCTACAGAAAGCATGTCCGACACCGAGGAGGGGAGAGGACCCCTCAGCCTGTGACCCGCAGGGACAGACTGACAGATCACAGACTGAAGACTCTGACCCGAGCAGCGAGGAGAAGAAGCCGAAGGAGAGCGACTGTCGGCCGGACAGAGAGGTCCGAGTAGAGCTGCAGGGCTCCGAGCTGTGGAGGAGATTCTACGAGATCGGCACCGAGATGATCATCACTAAAGCCGGAAGGTAAAACATCTGTGCAAGAAAGACTAAATTCAAAGAAGTTCGTGTGAAGTCTTAGCCCCGCACAAGCCGTCTTCCTGCTGATTTTACCAACTTTAACCAGCTTTTTTTTTTTATTTAAAACGTTTAAACTCCAACTGTATTTGCCTCCACGTTAACAAGCAAAGAGCTACAGCCGTTTTTCTGTAGATCACCAGATACAGTGCAGTCTGGCCGTTATGTTTTTAGTGCCACAGTTTGAGATTTCAGTTAAAACGACAGTTTAATCAGATACTTTATCTTAGTGCAATTTAAACCCGTCGGTTTAGTTTTCAGTCCGGGCCTCTGAAGGGGATTACCCCCGCAAATAAATTTAAAAAAGACTTGTCTACATTTGTAATGATAACTGAAGGTGTGCTTCCTCATTAAAGCGTCTGTTGCAAATGAAATCCAATGTGGAGCGGGCTTATCAGGCTATGATAATTACATTAACTGTTCTGTGGTCACAGGTGCGGCTTTATCGAGGATTTTAAAACGCTCTATCATGATACAACCAATCGGAGGCGAGCAGAAGAACAACAGTGTACAATAAGATCACTCCCTAAACTAACGAGGCAGCTATCATTAAACAAATTATGAGGTGAAGAACAAAAACTGAAAGTGGCTTTTCATCACGTGGAAATATGTCACTTACTTTTGCTTTTGTGAATTAACTCATATTCATGAACTAAACCGTTTTCTAAATCATTCTTAGCTTGTATTTTACCCATATTTGCCGATCTGTAAGATCTCTTTTATGTGACGCATCGTTTGCACAGAGAAAACTTGTTGTTGGGAGTGTAATTAAGCTTCTATCTCAGGTTCGCAGAAAACGGGTTCTTGCTCAGATAAATGAGTTATTGGAACATGACTGCGCGCGGAAATCTAAGTTCCGTTTACTCAATCACCGACAACACGCGCTGTAAATCTCGGACAGTGACGACGCCCTCAGGGCCCCTGGAGGTCCCTGAACTTTCCTGTGAACCTGGCCGGCAGAAGCAGAAGCGTCTCGGCCTCTTCTTGTCTTTAAGGCGTCGCTATAAACTGAAATCCGTGATGGCCAAATACGCATTTAACAGTTTTATTAAGCAGCTTTCATTAAAGAGATCAAACACGACTTCTCTCTTGTTATTTTTCCTCTCCTCTCATCAGGAGAATGTTTCCTTCTGTGCGCGTCAAGGTGCGCAATCTGGACCCTTGCCAGCAGTATTATATCGCGATGGACGTCATGCCCGTGGACTCCAAACGTTACAGGTGAGCGCCGATTTTTTTTAATATTCTTGTTGTTGTTGTTTTTTTCCTTTTACTTACACGCGCTTTCCTCCACGCAGGTATGTGTACCACAGCTCGCAGTGGATGGTGGCTGGAAACACGGATCACTCCTGCATCTCGCCGCGGCTCTACGTGCACCCGGACTCCCCGTGCGCAGGAGAGACGTGGATGCGTCAGGTCATCAGCTTTGACCGAGTCAAGCTCACCAACAACGAAATGGACGATAAGGGACATGTAGGTAACCCACACGCTGCCTCCTGTTGCTCTTCTTGCTTTGGATAAGGATCAGATGCACTGAGATTAAAAGGGAGTTCGTTTTTTAAGCGGATGTGCTGAAGATCATTCTTTAATTTTTGTGTATTAGATCATGATATTAACAAATCTTTTTAATCATTTTTATGTGTTTCTGCGTGTTGCTTTTGCTTTTCTGACTGCGTTGAGAGTTTCAGTCCTTAAACTGCTCTCCTACACATTTGTAACATCGAGGGGAAACCTGGATGTCTTAGAGGGAGGAAGGAAGCGGAAATACTTCTCAGCTCCAAAGTTTACCGCGAAAGATTTAGCAATCTGCAAATGTTGTGACCAGGGAGACATCTGGAGGCTTATTGACTCGATCCTGCTCTTTATACGTCCACGCTGGAACTTGTGTGTTTGTGAAATTAATTTCATGTTTAAAAAAAAAGAAAGAAAAGAAAAAAGACAAGAATAACTTTCTCGAAATCCACATCTCTCGTGGTCAGTGTAAAATCTCAAATGGACATTTTACGCATTTTTAATTAACTTTATTGTCTTCACTTTTTTTTTCTTAACATATTGCTGTTTGTCAGTAAGTGCTGAGTTTATTTTAGAAAGCGTTTCCCTCCACTGTGAAACCTCATATATCACATTACCGTTTTTTATTGGGCTTTTCTCCTGTGAAAAGAAATAGTCTAGATCAGAGGTGTCAAACATAAGGCCTGGGGGGCAGAATCAGCCCGCTGAAGACTCTAAGCCGGCCCATTGGGCAGCTATAGAAAATGGGAAGGAGTGGATAGAGTTTAAATTTCTATCTTTAATTTCATAAATTTTACAGCTTTTCCTATTAATAAAACCTCTCCACCTCCATCGCCTTTCATCATACAACATCACAGTAATTTACTAACAGATAAAGAGCTAAATTTACAGGAAAGTTACTGTTTCAAATATTAAATATCAAATAATATGAAAATTTTAATGAGTCCACAATAATTTAAAAAACAAAAACGTTTGTAATTACAGGATAGTCTGTTTATATTAAACTGTATTAAGAAGAGCTTTAGGCTTTATAATTACAGAACAGTGAACTATTATAGCCTTTTCTATGATTTTACACATTTATCATGTTGTTTCACCCATTTCAGATCACTTAACATCAAAGTGGACTGTATGTGGCCCACGACGCAAAATGAGTTTAACACAGCTGCTCGAGATGTTAGGACCACAAATTTTTACAGTTGTGCTGTTACATTTACATGTTTATTTGTTTTGACTCTTTTCAGTGTTTTTAATCTACTTTCCAAAATATATATTAAAAAAATGATAATATTAATATTCCACCTCAAAAAATTGTGCTATAAAACCCCCAAACAACCTTCTAGGAGACCAGTTTTACTCCATGACAATATATGAGGAACAAAATAATTGTTTCATATATTTTGTTTTGTTCGCAAAGAGGTCACATGTAACCCATAGTGTATTACTAATAATTTGTCAGACCTTTGTTAGTAATATGACATATTTAACCATATTTGATGTTTTATTAGGTTTATTTGATGAAAGGCACATTTGTGCTAAATACTTTTATAAAACGTAGAGCTCTTCATAATTGTATTTTAAAGACTTGGATATTTCCTTTCATTATCCTGTTAATCATGTAACCTACTGTCGTGCACCAGAAGAAGATTTATATCTAAAACAGCCTGAAATCCACTTTTTTAATTTCCTTTTTTTAAGAATGAAATTTATTTTAAAATCTGTTTTACATTTTAAAAAAAACTACAAAGTACAGCAAAATTTAGTTTTTGCCAGAATTTTCTTTATTTTTTTGGATTGTTAGCACAAAAAATGGAAATGACAGATTTACAAAATTGCATTTTTTTATTTTAAAGGGTTTTTTTTTATATAAAAACAAAAAAGAACATGCAGCTGTAATACTTGATATGTCCGTTTCTGATCTGAAAGATGATTCCAAATTGATGTCCACCTTAAAAAATAAATAAATAAAAAGCCTTTCATTCTTCGTCTCATGATGCAGATCATTCTTCAGTCGATGCATAAATACAAGCCACGTGTGCACATCATCAAACACAACCCTCGCATGGACTTGTCTCAGATCCAGTCGCTGCCTGCTGACGGAGTGCACAGCTTCTCCTTCCCAGAAACAGAGTTCACCACAGTCACAGCCTACCAGAACCAGCAGGTAACACTCAGCAGCAGTGCTGAAATACTTCTCAATACTTCTCACAAACAGAAGGTTTGAGCTCAGAAACTAAGCGCACTAATGTTGGATTGTTTCTTTAATAAACATCTGACTTTTTCATGAATTGGAACATTAACAAAATGAAGTGATGTTTAATAAAGAAAAATCAGTCAGTGACTCTGTGTTACTACTGTTTGCCAGATTTGATCAAAAAACAGATGTTTAGCCTTTTCTTCCTTGGCACGGTTGTTATGATGATGTTCCAGTGAACAGCTCAGGCTGCTTGACCTCATAAAATGTCCACATTGTGAAGCCAGTGAGGCCCGGTTCCATGTGCTCGCAGCCAAATCATAAATTTGCAGTGTTCTGATTTTCTGCTGGTCCAATTGCTCAGAGAGGGTGTGTGTGTGTTCCCGTCGAGGGGACCTGACCCTGCTGTTGGCTACCATTCCTCCAGTAACAGAGCCCTCCGCAGGGACTGCCAGCTCTTTTCATCAGGGCTCATTTTACTATCAGTGAACGTGTTATTATAGAAATGCAGTAACGAGCTGTGACTGCGCCGACTGCCGCCGTCCACGGCCTATTAAAGCGCAGGATAAAACCGAACGACCCTGAACCCCTTCTGCAAGAACCCCTGTTTGACATGGCTGATCGCCTTGGGTGCTGCTGGGAGATGCAGTCCCGCGGGGGTGCTCTGCCACTCTACTCTATTGTAAAAGCTGAGCTCATTGTTAGCTTAAGCACGTCAACCGTTGACAAATCCACTCTAACCCGTGTCTGTTCCTCTCCTCTGGGCCAGATTACAAAACTGAAGATCGACAGGAACCCCTTCGCCAAAGGCTTCCGAGATCCAGGAAGGAATAGGTATAGCAAACTCTCACTGAACGCTGAACATAAACACTTTTTATTTAGCTGAAAGTGCTCCACTAAAGGACCCAAGAGGGATTTAAAGTTCAACCACTGAAATCTGAAGCCACATAAAACCTTCAAATAAAGCTGAGCTGAGTAGTGCAGAATTTCACACCTCTCAGTACCAAAATTTAAATACCTGGAATAACGTTTTTCATTGCTTTTACAGTATGTATAAATATGTGTGTGTGTGTGTGTGTGTGTGTGTGTGTGTGTGTGTGTGTGTGTGTGTGTGTGTGTGTGTGTGTGTGTGTGCAGGGGAGTGTTGGATGGCCTGCTCGAGTCATATCCCTGGAGAGGCCCTTTCAGCCTGGACTTCAAGCCTTTCACCATACAGCTCCAAGGTAAAGTGCTCCAGCTCTATTTACTTCTGAGATTTGACTTTTTTACCGTGTTGATTCAGTGTCTTATTTTTTTCCTGTCCTGTCCATTGACAGGGAGCTCAGGGTCGCCCACCAGCAGTGTGAAGAGCCTCCTTCCCGTCTCTTCATCTTCATCCCTTCACCCGCTGTCCTGCCAGGAGGCCGCTGTCCACGCTTTCACTCTCCCCCTCTACAGCAAGACCTCCACCACCTCACCCAGCATTTCCCCTCTGCCCAGCAGAGCCTTCTCCTCCCTGGGAGCAGACAGACTGAGAGGCTTCTCCCCTCTGCCTCCTCTCACAGACCTCCCGCTGTTCTCTGCGCTGCAGGGGAAGAAACCGCCCCACTGCAGGGACCCGTGTCCTCACGAGTCCCCGGGGTCTCCTTGCCTACTCCCCTTACACTGCCCTCTCAGCCCTCAGAGCTCTCCTCTCCCCCCACATCTCTCAGACACTGTAAGCCCGTATTGCCTCTACCGCTACAGCTTCCCTCTGAACCCCCAGCTTGCAGCCATTTCCCGGCACCCCAAACTAGCCGAAGACACTACAGACTGTCTGCTGCGCCAGCCTCCCTGGCTCCCGACCACCAACCACTGCCTCTGACGGCTGGACGGCACTTGCGGGCTCCGGCCCATTGAGCATAACAATCCCAAAACTGAACACACAAAACAGAAAGGGCTGATCCTCCTTGATCCGACTGAGAGGAGAAATGTGGCTGTGGGGACTTCTTTGTATTTATAAACTCTTTTACACAAACGTGTTGGAGTTACCAGCACAAACAAGCGATCCCGAGGCAGATTGCGAGCAGCTCCTTTTCATTCTGCAATCTCGTCTAGAGCCAGAGAAGCCAAAAACGGAGTAAACAGAAACATTCCTGTTCAGGCAGGATGCAGATTTTTATTCGGGACAGATTGCTTTTGACAGTTCAGTCCACAGTTTTACTGCATCAAGGGCTGTAACAGTGTTACCAAAGAGCATCAGCAATGAGGTATGTAACAGAACTATTATAATGAACGTGTTTGTTAAACTGACCATAAGTGCCCATTAAAGTTTTTTCGTGCTTTTTGTTGAGCTCCACAACTTCCAAATGGTCTTTTTATACACTTTCAAACACGGCAGTGCACACATAGCACACGCATAATGACAGTTCTGCTTGAACATAAATGCCAAAATTCAGAGTAAAGCACACATGCAGTATTGAGCAACAGGAAGCGAGTTTGAAGGAGACATGATGAAAGGGTGCACATTATGTTCCAATTATCTGCCGCTGTCCATTTAAAGTGAACAAAAGCATGTTTTGTGTTTTTGAATCTCTGCGTCAGGCCTGGCCACCCCTGACTAATAATATGAGCTCATCAGGTTTCTGTGTGATTTTTAGGGGAAGAACCACAGCTGCCAGAATCCAGGCAGCCAGTTTCCATTCCTGCATTTTATTACCAATAATAAGGCTAATCAGAGATGCATGGAGGTGAAATGGTTATTCAGTAGAGCCCTTTATTCGGAACAAGAGCTTTGCTCCCTGAAACAGTTTAAATCAGCTCTTTTCTTGATTGTTGTGTTGTTCAGAGTCAAATGAAAAGCTATCACTACCGTTGGCCAACACAACACAGTTGTTTTGGGGTTTTTTTTGCGTTCATACCAAATGGGGCACACCCGTTCAGCCACTGATGTGATAATTCCTGCCTTCAGCTCAGTCAGAAACCAGCACCCGTTCATCCCTGTCTCTCTCCTCCCTCTCAGCAGAGCTAGGAACAGCAGTTTAGGAAAAGTGGGGAGGGAGGGAGAGGGAAATGGCCTGTTTCCCGACAAACGGTCATAACCAAACAGCAATTTACTTGTCACAGCCGAGCATGGCGGTGAGCTAATGTGAGCTGGACGTGGAAATAGCAGGAAGAAGTTAATTGAGGATCTCGGTAAGGGGATGGCCCGTGTTTTGGTGAATGGTCAGGTGCGCCGCTATCAAACAGCCTGCTCTTTGTCTGCAGACCGACATAATCTGGACAGGTTATTTGATACTGTCTGTCATTTCCATTTGGCCTGCATAGGACAATCATTTTAAACTCCCTTCTAATTCCTGATCTTTCAATTAGACAAATTGCTTTCATACCAGGAGGGCTGAACATTGCACCTGTCACTCTTCAGTGAAGCAGGCACACGCTTGTGGATATTAGAAGGAAAAAGATAACATGAGCATGTGGGCCTAAATATGAGTGTGCTAAATTGAAAAAGATAAACAAGAGGTTTGACGCACATTCATAGAGTCTGAAATAGCTAAAACTGTGTTTGATAAAATTCAGTTAAATTCAGTGTTGCTTACATAGCACCAAATCATAACAACAGTCGCCTCAATGGGCTTTATATTGTAAGGTAAAGACCCTACAATAATAGAGAGAAACCCCAACAATTAAACAACCCCCTATGCTGTGAGCACTTGGTGACAGTGGGAAGAAAAAACTCCCTTTTAACAGGAAGAAACCTCTGGCAAAACCAGGCTCAAACTGGGGGCAGCCATCTACCATGACTGCACACTGTGAATTAATACATGAAGGAGCACACTTACACTGTAGGCTTGTACTTGTTGGTTTCAACATATAGCAGTGTTCATAGTATCATGTCTTACTACGTAAAGTCCACGATGAATGGTGTACCTGTAATGGTCAAAAAGCTGAACAGCTGTACCTCATCAATGTCCATCAAACAATTTTTCTGCCAATAGAAGGAGAAATATGCCGCTAGTCTATGTTCCACCTAGAAAAGGTGGATTTCAGAACTCGTTACAGCAGTAAAGTCAGAAAAGCAAGAAAAAACAGAATTTGTTTCGCTTCTCAGGAGGTAGAGCCAGTCATATGTCACTAGCAAAGCAGTGCAATACTTGTTTTCTTATGGTTAAAAACACCTCCACAGCACGCTTATGGATAGATCCTGATCAGTACTCCGTGAATGGCTTATTTAGCAAGTCACAAATACGTGATAGTGGCAGTAAAGATTCAATTTAATTGTTTTTAAAGGTTTTACACTTTTACTGCCATTCGCTCATGCCATCTTGGATTGTTAATTTGGAGTTTGCGGGACTGCTCCGATTTTCCAAATTGGAATTTTTTTGTTTTATTGTTTTTAATTTTGTTTGATTTAAATTGTTCAAGATGAAAATTCTAACTGGGAATTGTAAATTCTGTCTTCCAATTTCATCTGGAAAGCAGAATTCATATAACAAATAAAAAAAAATAAAACATAAAAAAAAAGCTACCTGGCTAACTGCAAAAGTATCCGGTCTTTAAGTCTGACGTTATCAGCTGTTTCCGGGTCCAAACTCCACTTCAGATCCCAAAGTTAAACTAACACTGCAGCATCACTGAGAGCTAAAAACTGTTTAAATTCTTTCATCTTTAATAAAATGATCAGTGTGGCTGCTCTACCAGGTGTAACAATTAAGTTTAACATCCAGGCATCCATGAAAACAGAATTTATTAAATTTAATGGCGTTAGAAGTTAACAGGAAGTTAGCTCGCTAGTTTCCACTTAACATAATATACCATGTTCTGACTGAGAGACTTCTGAAAAAATTAAGACATACAGCTCTGCTTCCGACATAAATAAGGACAGGAAACTAAACAGTAGTGACGTTTGCTGGGATACTGAATTTGGGCTAGCTGTCTACACAGCTATGGTTAGCATAATATAAACACATTAGCACAGTGAAGCTGGAGGATGAACGTTAACTTTTTTCCACTCGATAAGTTAACGCGGGTGTTCCCGATGGTTAGGGACAAATGCGATCGCATGGCAGGATGCTGTAAACGGACCAAACTTCAGTCAGAAGAACAACAGAGATAATCCATTCACAATAAGGGGTTAGTCATTAATATACTGCCGTGTGAGCTGGGCTGTAGTTACATTGTAAGGTTTTTAAAACGAAGCTTTAAAATGAACAGTGGTAATAAAAACCGAGATAGGCCGACAGTTATCAATACCTTTTTTAGGGGCTTGTTCAGATTAAATAGAACCTTAATAAACATAGAGTAGTTTGGACCCGGAAACAGGGTTCTTACATGATTAGCTTAGGTTATCTTAGCTTCGTTTAGCTTAGCATAAAATTGGAAACTTGGAAGAATATAAAAGCAACAATAGTTCCTTCGACTCTCAGTAATGAGAGTTACATGTATTTACAGATTATAATTTAGCAGGATATTACTTGGCTAGTTAAAGAAACCGTGTTTTAAAACCACTTAAAAGATGGATGTGTATTGTATGTAGGCTAAGTCTATAAGAAAATGGCCCTTAGCTCCCTCGTTAAACACTTTCCTGGTGACTTCATGGGCTGAGTCGCTAGTTTTATATACAGAAAAAATATGAAATTCACTTTGTGAAATCTGATTATAATTTAAGACAGAAAAGACAAATTAGTTTGCTCATTGACTTGTAAATCTTAAGTCGTTGACAATTTGTTAGCTCTTAGGCTAAGAACTTGTCAACAAGTTCTAACAACTTGTCAATCACAAGTCATTAGCCAAAGACTGTGTGGTGTCCCGTGCTCTCCCGTTATATCCGCTTTCAATATGGCGATGTGAAAAAGTTGAGCTCAAGGCTTTATAAATTTACTAACCAGTGGGTGACATCACAGGATCTACTATCCATCTTTTTGCTGTGTTGGTTAGACCCCATAGCGTGTTGAAGGTAACAGCTGGGTTAACCTTTCATCAACTTGTGGAAGAATATCCATATCTGCCCATTCATCCGCTCTATGAATTTGCCTTATACTGAGTCAGCATAATCCTCTGGTTGAAATAACATGGAGGCTGCGCTTATGAAACAACAGAAAGGGTGGCTTGTGTTTTTTTTTGTGTGTTGATTTTTTCTGGACTGTTCCACTGTGATTGACAGGCAGTAAAGGGAAAGAAATGTGACCCCGAAGTCATTTGTTTCCAATCATGTGAAATGGCATCCTGAAACAGGAGAGAGGCTCAGCAGAGAGTCGGAACGTGTAAGTATACTCTGCCTTCATTAGATTAAAAAACATGAAACACACACACCACTAACACGTGTATGCCAGTTAATAATAGTTGCCATACACCCACTTACACACACATATGCTCATTCAGCTTAAACGCCCTGCAGCCAAACTCGTGTTCACCTCTGCGTGTCTCTCGTGAAGGTTTATACTGGACCCTATTTTCTCTGCAAATTCAATAAAAGCTGGTTATTTATCAGGTCAGATTATGGGACATGACTGAGCTCAGCTGTAAAGTTAAAAGTGAAACCAGCTGTGGCTGAAATTGAATTACACTCTGTGAGTAATGTGAAAAGCAAGAGCAGTTTAACAGTTATTAAGCACTCCTCTACCGCCCCATCGACCAGGCGTACGCTGCACAGTTACAGTGAAAGTGCTCCTCTCCTCCTCTCTGTGATCGTTATCTCCCTCCTAGTTACAGATATAGTCCAAAACCTCTTCTCTGACGCAGAAGTCTCAATGAGTTAGATTTCTATTTATATGCACGTGTATACCTTTCAGTACGGCCACACGTGTGCGTAGACGGGGGTCATGGGGGCTTCGCTTTGGCATGTGCTCCCTGACAAGCCTCTGTCTTACAGGAGCAGAGGTTAGATGAGTGGAGGACAAACTATTTTAACATGTGGTCTGGCAGCTGGCCTCCGTGTTTGTGTGTGTGAGTTTTGGGGTTTCCTCTGCATGTTCCATCTGGGCCTCAGACTCATGCCATTCTTCAGAAAAAGTGTTAATCACCCAACCAGTTCTTGCATTCTCCCTCATTTCCCAAATTTATACTTAAGATCATTTCTCCCAGTCCATGTATCATGCTTTATCTTTGGATCTCCTAATTTAAGAAGCCCCCAAAAAAAGGGATTCAACATAATTAACACACTTGCAGCTATGTGACAGTGCATCCATTTAGCTAAAGCACTTTCTGCACAAAGATTGTCCAAAAAACACGTTCTACCCTTTATTATATGCAGCTCCACTCCTCCTGGGAGAAAGTGTGTGTGTTTGCTAATTCCTCCCCTTGTCTGTTAGGCTAAAGTGTGATTCTACAGGTGTGTGTGTGTGAGAGAGAAAGAGTCTCTGGCATTGGTTTTATTTAATACAAGCCATCAACCCCTTTGGAACAAGAGATGTGAGATATTCTTTTTCTCTTTGCCCCTATCTCTGGCAGAGGGATAGATCGTTCTTACCTCTTTTTGCTTCCTGTGTATGACAGGTTATCACTCCTGGGACAGATACAGAGGGGGGAGAGGGGGAAATAGGAATAGAGGCAGAGAGTGATTGAGTGAGAATGATGCTCCGTGGCTGATGTATCGGATGGCAGATGAGAGGATGAGGCGAGGGTGTGGGGTGGAGAGAAAAAAGTGATTTAGCACCAGGCTGTACTCTCCTCTCCTCTTATCCAAGCCTCTGCTTCTTTCATGTCTCAACCAAGGGTCGACCCGCCTGCTGCCCCAGATGGTGCTGTCTGTCTGGGCTGCCTTCTACAGGATGTGCCCCTCTCACCCCCACATCCACAGACCTATACTTGTATAATTGATTTCAGGGGGGAAAGGCCGTCTTTCTCTTGTGTTTCTCACACACACACACACGTGGACAGCTTGCCAACAGCTAGTGCCCCCGGTGCACACACACACATACACGCGGCCGGCGCTGTGCGCTGTCAACGCTAATTCAATTTGAGACGCGGAAGTGTGACTAACAGCAGACCTGCAGAGTATTTTACCATATGCACCACACACACACACACACACACACACACACACACACACACACACACACACACACACACAC